GGAGCCGTCGTCGGAATGGTTTGGTTGTGAGCCCCTTTTAGATGTTAGTGTTATGAGCTTTGAAGCGTTGAGCAGGGGTGAGGTCTACTTACGAGATGTAGTGGCTTTCACCAAAGTCTGTCACAAGATATTCAGTCATATTACCTGAATAATATGGAACAACCCAATACTCACCGTTCCAGCTAATGATCTCAACCAGTGCAGGCTTCATGGCAAGCATCTGCTCCCAGCGGATGGTGGGTTGCTTTTCCGTGATGAAGACCCAATTCTTGGTGTTGAAGTGAGTTGAAAACCAAGGTGAGACGGCTTTTCAGGACTTTGTATCAGTACACCATTTGTATCAGAGACAGAACGACAGAGGGTCAACGACACAATCACTTACGGGCCATGTACGGACGACTCCCCAGATTCGCCAGATACCGATCATCCCAGATAGTCGTCATCGGACCAGGAATGATACTATTTCCCCCACCCGTCGGCCACGCATACCACGAAAACGCCCCATCAAGACCCGTATTCGCAACAGAAAGCCACGCAGGATCCTGAATCATCGGAAGAGCAGTAAGCTTCTGTCCCGGAGGCATACCATTCTTCACCGCGGTCCAGTTCATATTGTCGCCGACAAAGGTGCTCACGATGGCGCCGCCGTCGTACCGTGCCTGAGCCGGGTGCGCGCTGTAGTTGCCTACGATGGAGGTGATTTCTGCCGTATCGGCCGTGGACCAGTAGGCAAAGTCAAAGGAGATGAATACAGTGAAGTTGAGTTCTTGAGATGCTTGGTAGGCGTTTGCGAGCTGTTTGGGGGTGTAGCTATCGATGCGGGCTGGGGCACAATTCAGAGCGAAGCCGTCGATGCCGATTTCTTTGGCTTGGGCTATGTCGAGGTGCCAGTCTGATATGGTGTAGTTTTCGACAATTCCGAGCTGCCCATTTAGTTAATGGGGATTTTGGTGGGTTTTTATCTTGTCATTTGGCGATGTTCTTACCATAAAGTGCGCATAGACTGTCTTTGTTGTTTGGGCAGATACCGGCAAGAGCATCAACGCCAGCAGAGAGGCATGTCTGAAATATTCGCGCCATTTAGTGAGCTGCGTAGATGTTTCTAGATTATTGGAAGTGATCGATGATGCTCTGTAGGATATCTCGAGCTGATTGTGGCTTCCTTCCCAGGGTAGACGCTTAGACGGGCGTTATTCAATAAGCTCTATTTAATTGCTCTTTCATTTCGATGTCAAGTACTGTACCATGAGCCGACATCTCATTTTCCATGTCTCCTCAACGACGTTACCTACCGGCTTCGATGTTGAGACAACGTGACATCACGAATAGAGTGTGATGGCGCAGCCCCTGAGTCCTACCACCTGCAGATGAGACGGAAGTCCGAGGCGGTCACGGCGCGGACTGAGTGCATCAATCACAAGTACGAAATGCAACTAGGCTCTGAAGGGCCGAAAGCTTAACATCACCAGGCACTGTGAAAAGCTTCAGCGGCATTTCCATCATTGGGGGAATAACTGAGTAAAATGATGATCTTGCTGTTGGGTTGCTTTCGATGGAGATGCGCGGATGCCGCCTGACATATACGATGCCATCAGAAGCTCTAACGCAACCATAGTTGACAGTTAAGGTGTAAAGTAACCCATGAACTTAAGTCCAAAAAAAAAAAACAAAAAAAAAAGGACCGAAGTCTCTCAGTTTACCATGCTAGATAAGATCAACCTCACGATTGGGTTAAGGGACGTCGGTGACTACGCAACGAATATTCCCAAAAGGGAAGGTGCTTCTTCTCAACACACACACTGCGGATGAATAGATGGCTCAGAAAATTATCAAGTCAGGGTACAGGACAAAACGGTGGTGAAGACTGCGGCGGGGTCTCCCGAAGACTGCGAGATTTTGAGCGGCCTGACAGTCGTCACAAGATTGCAGCACAAGAGGGTTACATCTTAAGGGCACCATCTATACCAAAGGTCCAAACCACAAGATGATTTGTCGAGAAGTGAGCAGTCTTGACCGACTCACTGTTTGCATGCCATGCGCTTACGTTTACTGCAAGTCAGGGGTATTCCCTATGATGACCGGGCATAGTCTTGCAAATGATGACGGTAAGTCGTCATAAGTTTATGTTGTGCGCCGCCTTAACTCTTGGCTAACTGCAATGCTGTATAATCATGAAAATTTTGGATTGCTCGCATACGATCCTGTTTGTTTTCTCTTCTACGATCCCAACCCGACAACACGGAGTTGACGTCGGTTTAAGGAACCCCCGATTTTCTCCGTTGGAATCATCCCATCTTAGTAGTATTTGGCGTCGGGATAATACCACCTGCAGGGAGGTCCAATCTTCTTCAACTACCGCAGTAGGGCTTGATTCTGACGTTGATTGGAGGGTCGTTGATGTTTTGTGCTTGTGATTTGTCTTGACTACTCCGCACTGCCGGGTGTTGACACCAACCATGTGGCAAGCCGACGAGACATTCCGTCATGTGGTGCTTACTGACATCTGGCATGGTCTGGACACAAGTTTCCACACTTAATATATGTACCCCAGATAAATGACTTTGGCCAAGGGGACGCCAGTCGGGTTGTTGGGAGGGTTGTATTCGGAGACCAGCAGTCAGCGCGGGCCGAATGACATGGATTCTCAACGACCCATTCAGCGTTCAAAGGAGGCAATAAGCATGACTTCGAAGATTCTAGGGACGGTGTTTCGGGACCCTGTGACATATGTGGTTGCCCATGATTTGTCGCTTGTGCGGAATGATGTATCGAAAACAGCAAACCCTTCTGTTTGTTCTTTCAAAGTCCGTCAAACGGAAGTTTACCCTGACTTCAACCCTTTTCTCCGAGAAAGGATAGAAGGGTTTGAGGCCGACATCTGCCAAAGAGAGGCAGAGCTGCAACGTGACATAAGATTCTTACTGCAACTGGTGTTTTTGCTGCAGTTGACCGCAGGAAGACTTTGTGCCTGATCATGCAAACTGCAGGCATCCCATGAGCAATTAGCCGGAAAAAGAGGGCTGCCGGTGTGGAAATTGTGGCATCATCAGACTTATGGCAGACGTACGATTCAGACCTACTCTTTGAACGTGAGGTAAGAGATCTGCGAAGCATCTCGGGCACAAACTTGATATGCAGAACTCCGTGACATTGACCATGGAATCATGCGGGATGCCAGTGCGGCCTGGCACGCTTGTCAGCGGACGGGAAAGAGCAGGGGCAACGGGAGAGAACAGACGAGGAAAGAGCCAAAGCGAGGGCCAGAGCGCTTCGGAAGGAACCAAGGAATCCGGACTTTCAACTTATAAAGAGAACTTCCTCGATTGCTTCAGTTCTCTTATGTGTAACTAGCAGGCCCGGATTGTAGACAACGCAACTGCTCAGAATGATTTTCACTCATCTTTTCAAGGCCCTCCTGGCTGCGGCCATGGTCACTTTGGCCACCTGCCTTACGGTTCCATCTACACATGGCGACACTCTCAGCCTTCGCCAAGACAGTAGTGAGAAGCTTGTATTTTGTCACTTCATGGTGAGTTTGGCTCCATGAATCCATCTCTTTGGTTCCTGGCTGACATCAATGAAAGATTGGCATCGTCAATATGCGTAGCTCACCTAGTGACTACGATGCTGATATGAAGAACGCCAAGGCGGCTGGCATCGACGCCTTTGCTCTCAACATCGGCGTCGACCCTTACAGCGAGACCCAACTCGACTTGGCTTACCAGTCTGCTGCCAACAACGGCATGAAGGTCTTCATCTCCTTCGACTTCAACTGGTACCAGACTAGTGAGGCAACTCGCGTCGGCCAGATGATCGCCAAGTATGCCTCGCGTCCCGCTCAGCTCATGGTTGACAACAAAGCGTTTGCGTCTTCGTTTGCGGGAGACGGGCTGGATGTCGGTGCTATGCGCAGTGCTGCTGGTGTCCCCGTTTTCTGGGCACCGAATTTCCATCCGGAATTCAAGACAGACTTCAGCGTTCTCGACGGCGCTCTCAACTGGCTCGGCTGGCCCAACAACGGCCTCAACAAAGCTCCCGACGGTCGAGGCAACGTCTCAGTCCAGCAGGGTGATGCGACATACATTGCGGCACTCAATGGCAAGCCATACATTGCGCCAGTCTCACCGTGGTTCTTCACGCACTTTGGTCCCGAGGTCTCGTATTCCAAAAATTGGGTATTTCCATCCGACACTCTCTGGTACGACCGCTGGCAGCAAATTCTTTCCCTTAAGCCGCGCTTTCTTGAGATTGTCACTTGGAATGACTACGGCGAAAGTCATTACGTCGGACGTCTTGACAGCCCGCACGGTGATGATGGGAACTCCAAATGGGTCTACGGATTCCCCCACAACGGATGGCTTGACATGGCACAGCCGTTCATCAAGGCGTTCAAAGCCGGCGCTAGTGATCCAAAGACCTACATCACCGAAGACAAGGTCGTCTACTGGTTCCGCCCGACTCTCCGGGGAATCAATTGCGACGCGACTGATACCACTATGAGCGATGCCAACAACTCTTCTGGCAATTACTTCAAGGGCAGACCGGATGGATGGCAGACCATGGAGGACAAGGTTTACATCGTGACGCTGCTTAAGGAAGCCGCATCTTTGACCGTCAATGTTGCCGGCACCAGTCAGACTTTCCAAGCCCCTGCTGGCGCTGCCAAATTCTCCGTAGACATGAAGCCGGGCACCGTCGCCTTCAGCCTTGCTCGCGGAGGATCTTCCGTTTTCTCTAGGACTGCTGGCATGCAGATTCTGGACCACTGTCCGTGCGGTATCTACAATTTCAACCCTTATGTCGGAACCATCCAAGCAGGAAGCGCGGACAATCTTCTTCCAGCAGCTTATTCGTCCATCTATGCCGGTTTGAAGGTCAGCACATGCGGGCCGAGTGGCATGAAGAGAACGGCGGCACCGCTTGCTGATATGGTCGCCCCTGCTGTGGCCACACCCACGGCTTGAGTTAATCCCATGTACCTACGGGAGTGGACAGGATGGCAGCAAATGGGATAGCATGGATTTTAGATTGCCTTACATATCTACTTATGCAGCACATAGTCAAAGATGAATCACACCAACGAATCAACGATTACTTCAAGCCATGTCTGATGTGTTGAAGATACTTTAGGTAGTATGTGAAGGAACGTGTGACTATACGTAAAGAAACAAAAACAATGTGCAGACCAGTAGCGACTGTAAACCTCCGTTGCAGCAGCCTCCTTCATCAATCGTTTGTTGCCTTTCCATCTGTTTGCTTGATCTACCGTGTCTCCTTCTCAAGTACAATGCAGCTGAGACGGAACGATCTCAATTTAGTCGATCCTTCAATGGTTCCAAGCTGACTTTCAATCTCCTTATAGGTCTGTGATTGATGAAAGGTTTTGTTTGCCTCGAGATTGGACCAGCCGACAAACGCTGTCAAGATAGAGCCAGTCTGATTGGGGTCTCCCCCTTTCACAGGAAAATCGTCTTGAACTCCCCAGCCATAGCTCGTGACAGTCGCTTCATGGACTTGCTCGAAGCCTTCCTTGAGGATCTCTTGAAGTCGTGCAGTCGCTGCATCTTTCGCCTCAGGGGTAATGTTGGAAGCATAGTAAATGACGAAGACATCAGTCGCGACAGACTTCAGCGCATCTGGAAAGGTTGGCGTAGCGGTAATGTGCTTGCAGAATTCGCCGTATGTCAAGACTTTGGGCAAGTCTTTGCACAGTTCCACGCCATATCTGACATCTTTTAGACCTGTTTTTTTGATGAAGAGGCATGTGGTAGCGTCGACTCACTCTTTGGCAAACTTCTCGTGGTCCTCAATTGAGTCCCAGTCGAAGAAGCCCCAGACCATGGTTGGGTCTTCGAGTTCGAGACCCAGATACAATCGGTGAGGAGCTCCAGGGGCTGCGATGATCTTACGGTAGACGCCCATGAAAATCTGGCCTTCCGGTGTGGACTCATCCATAATATTGAGGCCGGGCTTGACGCCCATGGCACCAAGCTCGGTGACAATCATCGCGGAAGGCTTGTGGCTGAACTGAACTTAGGTGTATTGAAGATGAGATGCACTAGATGATACCGATGGTATTTTAAATTCAGACCAACTCATGACATTTCGCTTCTTTTGCATAAGAAGCGGATAATTGATGCCTGAGCTCGACTCGTCACTGCTTACGCGGGGTGCAGGCAGCGATTGTCGCATCTCACTCAGACATATGAGCGTTTCAGTCGATGCCTGAATTTTTGCACCCTCAGTATGAGTAAGCGCACACTGCCATATAGTTTTCAACTGTATTATTGCCGTCATCATTTGAGAGACTTCAATTGATATCTTACGTATTTAACACTTGAGGGTGACTTGTTCGTCTTCAAATTGCGCATTTGCGTTTCCTGTCAGCCTGTTCTCACGCACTTCCTTCAGAGAGACTTCTCAAAGTCTTAACTCTCCAATGATGATCTCTGCAGCTTTCTCACCCACTAACAGTGCAGCATTGTAAGTGTTGGCAGCAACTTGCTGAGCTGGCACGCTGAGATCCGCAATCTTCAACCCGGACACACCGTACACGTTCAATTCGTGGTCAACTGCAGTATCTGCTGTCAGTATACGGAATGGTCTTCAAGCTTAGCGGGACTACTTACCAACACCTCGGCTCTCCCGGGGCGCCATCTTACAAGTACCCAAAGGATGTCTCGACGTTCCAATGTTTTCTCGTATGTACTGTATAATTGCAGCGTCGTCTTCGGCAGAGTATTCGATCGAGTCAGTTACGGGACCTTCAGCCACCTCAACCACAGCGGCACTCGATGTGTTGGAGAACTTGGGATGCCCTAGTGCGAGCTCGCCCCTAAATATTTCCATTCGACGAGCGATGGCTCGCTGTGTCTTGTACCCCCAAACATGGCTTTGCAGATCGATATCGTTCTCGTCAAGGAGCCAGCCAGTGGTAAAGTCGTACCGATCGTCAATATTTGGCCCAGTGGTGTGAATGTGGCCCCTCGCGTATGGATATGTGACCCAGGGTGCTGTGGTAACATACTCGGCGTTGTCAGGAAGGGCAGCAGGGTCACCAAAGTAGGCGTTAAAGAGTCCCATGATCATGAAAGGGCGGTTCGGCGAATCCTTAAAGTCCCTGTCCCAAGCGGCTTGGAACTCCGGTCCCAGAGCTGCGATGTCAGCAGGAGACGGCCTGAACTTGCCAGAGGCATCGTGGCCGTTCCATCCAAGTTGCTTGTCGTCGGCGGCAATCATGGCATCCACGTCTCGGCCCCTGTCATTCCGGGCTATTCCGTTGATGGTCTCGTTCTGCTCGAGATTTGTGCGGTAGACGTATCCAACGAAGTGATGATCTAAAAGACGTCAATAGTCAGTTCAAGCTCTGGTTACCGCCGCGAGAGTGAATCAGACTTACCCTGGAAGTCATTACCCACTCCATCAAGACGTTGAACAGCCGGTATGCCCGCCTTCTCCAACACTGCAGGATCACCAACTCCGGATCTTTCGAGAAGCAACGGAGTTCCAAAGGACCCGGCGGAAGCAACAACAAGCTTCCTCGCCTTAACTCTCGTCGTGTTATTATCTCGGTAACCCTGCGCAAATGCTGGGTTGCGTCGGATCTCCACTCCGGTGGCGCGATTCTCTTCCCCCTCGAACAGGATACGGAGGACCTGAGTTTCTACCAAAACATGGAGATTGGGATATTCGCCACTTTGTAGAAGTGGGTGCAAGTAACGATGAGCTACATCTTGTCGACGGCCGTCGGTAGGCGAGACATATCGATACCAAGGCCCGGAGCCATTGTTCGAGTGCAGACTTTGAAGGTCTTCTATCTCCGACCAACCTGCTTCGACAGCCCCGTCGATCCAGCCTCTTTCAGCTCGAGGCGCTTGATGCGTCCCCTTTGATACATGGATTGGTCCATCATACCCGTGAGTGGACTCATTGGTAGTTGCGCCGTGATATGTTTCCACCTGGGGGATGCGTCAGCCATTCTGCGCGCATTATGATGATTGAAAGAATGATACCTTTCGCAGAAGTGGCAGCAAGTCTTCCGCAGACCACCCCGACGTGTTCCATGATTCGAAATCATCCCACTGCCCGCGGGTGTATACCATCCAATTGATAGCTGATCCGCCCCCAAGAATGCCGCCTGTCTCGACAACTGGCTCGCGATCCGCCAGTTGTGGTGACTTATTGGCCTTCCAGAACAGGGCAGTGTCGGAGTCGGGCAGGGTGTTTCGCTCGAATAATGCTGGGTAGATGACATTTGTGACGTTGAAGCTGTCTTGACCCTGCTCGATGACGAGAATCGATAGGGTTGGGTCTACTTCGGCGAGTCGTGAGGCAACGATGCTGCCAGCGGTGCCTCCTGCATTTATGATGAGGATTTGACCACGATGAGAAGCAAATAACAGACTCACCTCCGGCAATTATGACGTCCACCTCTGCGAGGTTGGTTGGAAGTTCCGTGTATATGCCGGCAGACACTGTCGTCATCACCACTGTGCCTAGAAAGGCTACTCTTAGTTTGCTTAATCTCATGGCTAAGGAGAACTGAATAATTTGAATCAGAATCCGCCTTGATAGCTGTGCTGTAAAAGGATCGAAAGTCGACAACAATTAGTTGGCTGCATGGTGCTTTAAAAGACGATATAACAATGCTTGGCTGTGTAAGATCCGCCGTTGTCGGCTACTCCCGTGAAGAAGTGTGCTTCGAAAGGCAAAAGATCGCCTCAGAGACTTCCGGTTCTATTCAAGCAAACTCCAGTTCTGGAGTAAGCCCAGGCGGAACGGCCCAGTTGTGTCGTATCGCAGAGGCGGGGGGTGCATCCGACGTTGTAGAACAGATTCCTAGCTTACTTGGCAAAGCCTTCAGGTACATTGTGCCAGGGTTCCTACTTGGAACCGGGAGAAGAGATCACGAATGGCATGGTGAGTCTATAACGTAAGTCGAATGCCATCTGCAGTGATGTCGATCGCCGGTCAGCGTCGCAACATCCCCGCTACTTGGTCGAAGAAACGATGGCTTGAGTCCGAGCAGACGAACAGTAGTCGAGCTCAGAGGTTTAGGCTTTAGCTTCTATTAATTGCACAATCTACCTAGGCATTACGGAGTAGATGAATTACACCTTCCGGAATCTCAAGTTCTCAACTGACGAATGAGGTCAACCCTTGAATAAACGCTTGGCTTCAGAAGAGGAGGATGAGACAGGCGCCTGTGCGCCTCATCTATAAGTCTGGGTCATTACTGGCTACATACAAGAAGGACACGCGGGCATCATCGGCTGTCTTTTTCTTGACTTCAAAAAAATAAGATCGTAAACATAATTAGTGAAGGAAGCAAAAGAATTGACCAGCCTGGGGGTCGAACCCAGAATCTCCTGATAACATGCCAAGTCGCGGAAGCGCTTAGTCGTAGTCAGACGCCTTGCCATTGGGCCAACCGGCCGGTTGTGATTGGAGGGGTCAAAAAGTTTTAATTTGTAGTGCACGCGCGGCCCACCAGCCCCGACCAACTCCGAGGACCCCCCCCAAGCGGAAGACCGAACGCTCTCATCCAAGGCTCTCGACGTTTAACACAAGCGTGTTGCATTCGTAACGTAGATGGTCTCTCGTAACGGTTTTAGAACGCTCACAAGTCACAAGTCAGAGCTGATTGAAAGTCATATTCATTCATTCCACTTCTAGCTCTAGCTATCCGTGACATGTGTCCAGGTCTCAAGACACCAGGGTAGCCATTTCATCGTAAACCAAAATCATCACAGTGTCATTAGAATCCGACTCTCTCCAAAACAAATCCAAACTTGAAGTCTCCGACATGCACCTTCAAGTCCTCCCTAACGTTGGGACCGCAAGCGGCAGTACCAACACCAGCAACACGGGCATCAAGACGCAGAAGCGTCGCATCCTCCTCAACGAGATCGCACGGGTGCGCGGCCTTGTGCACCTTCTCGGTAGCGTAGTGACTGACTTGGAAGCTGAACTGGCGCCACTCCTCCTCAGACCAGACTGCAGCCTCGGCCGCCGTGGCGCGGAGACCGCGGCCGTGGTCCTCGGTGAGGTTGATGTAGCGGGTTTCCAGATGGTTGCCGCCTTCCTGGGGCACCTCGTAGTGCTGGTGCAGTTCCGGCACGGTGGCATTGAAGACGCCGAGGTGTTGGCTGGACTTCTTGTCCGGGTAGGACTCGCCGGGGCCGAGGGCAAGGTACTTGACGTTGTTGAGCGACTTGGGCAGACGCAGGTTCAGGCCCACGCGAGGGACGTGGGTGGGCTTGATACCGCGAGGCTTCAGGTCAACAGCAATAGTGAGGCGACTGGTAGCGTCGATAGTGTAGGTAGTGGTGGTCTCCCAGCCCCAGTCGAGGACGCGAGGGGAGAGGTAGGTAGTTGTGATGACTTCAACCTTGTCGGCCGACTCGTTGATCTTGAATGACCGAAGGAAGCTGTCAAACGCATCGACACCGAAACGAACCCAGTAGGGAGCATCGTTGGGGTTGTCGTTGTCTGTCGGAGCACGCCAGAAGTTAGGAATAATGGCTGCGCCAGTGGCATTGTCCTTCTCGAGAAGAGGCACGCCGGCGGCGGTCCAAGAGGTGATGTATCCGCGGGCGGTATCGAAGGTGATGGCAAAGTCGGAGCCCGAGACGGTGGTCTTGGCGCGAGACTTTTGAACCTGCAGCTTGGAGGTGAGGGTGCTGGTGAGCAGCTTGGGGGCCGCCGCAACACCGGAAAGCTTGTGCTGGATCCACGCGATCTCGTGCGAGAGCACGGCCCAGTTGGTGGAGTCCTTGAGACCGAAGGTCACCGTGATGTAGACCTCCTTGTCGGACTTGATGTTTGCGAGGCTCGAAGGCAGGTCGACCTTGACGGTCTCGCCGGCGGCGATCTTGGGGATTTCGAGGTTTCCGGCAGCGATGAGGGCAGAGCTGTGTTGCACATCGTTAGTTATCTTGATTCTCGGGATTAGTAGGTCTTCAGGGCAACTCGCCTTTCGCCTAGTTCCTCAACCTTGTAGGTAGATGAGAGGTGGTCAACGCCAACAAAGTCGTACTTGTTCTTGATGACAAGCCTGTTACCCTCAACTGACAGCTGAAGGGGCTGGTAGGCCTTCTTCAACTCAATCAGACCAGGGGTAGGGTCGTGGGTGCTGTGAAGGAGACCATCCATGACGAAGGTGCCGTCGTGGGGGCGTTCGCCAAAGTCTCCTCCGTAGGCATAGTATCCCTTGCCATCGGCGTCTTCCTTCCAGATACCGTGGTTCGCCCACTCCCAGATGTAGCCACCCTGAAGGCGGGGGAACTTCTCAAAGACCTCAATGTAGTCATCGAGACCACCAGGGCCGTTGCCCATGGCGTGACCGTACTCGCAGAGAACAACGGGCTTCTCAAAGCTACCGTCCTCCTTGACACCCTCAGTTTCAGCCAGCTTGGTCAGACGGTCGATGGGAGGGTACATGTAAGAGTACATGTCCGCAGTCTCGGCCTTGACATCGCCCTCGTAGTGAACCGGGCGACCAGAGTCGAAGTTCTTGGCGTACTCGTACATGGCCTTGTGGTTCTCGCCGTAGAAGGCTTCGTTACCAAGCGACCACATGATGATACTGGTGTGGTTCTTGTCACGCTGAACTAGCTGAACCATGCGGTCGAGGTAGGCCTCCCGCCACTCGGGGTTCTCGCTGGTGTACTTGCCGGCAAGGGGGAAGGTAATAGCCTTGCGCGCCTCGTAGTCTGATGCCTCGTCGACATCCTGGGGGCGTGCAACGGCATCGTAGAAGCCGTGGCACTCGAGATCGGCCTCGTCCATGACCCACAAGCCGAGCTCGTCGGCGAGCTGGAAGAGTCGGGGGTCGGGAGGGTAGTGTGAACATCGGAGAGAGTTGATGTTGTGGTTCTTCATGATGAGGAGGTCGCGCTTGGCGTAATCGATGGGAACGGCGCGGCCGAACTTGTTGTGGTGTTCGTGTCTATTGACACCTCTGATACGGATGGGGGTGCCGTTGACCGTAATCAGGCCGTTCTTGAGCTCGACTTTGCGGAAACCAATGTTTTGGTAGACGGTATGGGAGCCCAGGGTGATGTCGACCCGGTAGAGGTAAGGGGTCTCGGCAGTCCACTTCTTGGGGTTGGTGACGGGAATGCTGATGTCGACCTTGGTGTTGTCGGCAGTGACCTCTGCCTCTTTAGTCGCCATGACGGCACCGCCGTTCTTTCCCAGCTCGCTGAGAGTGAGCTTGACGGTGCCCTTCTCGGCGGTCCTGACGTCGACCGTCGCCAGGAGAGTCGCGTCTTCGTACTTCTCATCGAGGTCAGTGCGGAGGAACCAGTCCTCAATTCTTGTTTGCTCGGGTACGGCGAGGAGAGTGACATCGCGGAAGATACCTGTTAATAGCTCGTTAGATGGGTGTTCAAGCAGGCTAGTGACGATGTGACCACTCACCCGAAAGCCACCATTGATCCTGGTCCTCGATGTAAGTTGCATCGGACCATTGGTAAACTCTCACAAACAGCTCATTGGGTCCATCCCTCTTGAGGATGCTTGTGACGTCAAACTCGGACGCGTTCCGCGAGCCCTGAGCGAAGCCAATGAGCGTGCCATTGACCCAGATGTGGTATCCGGAATCAACACCATCGAATCTGAGGCGCAATTGCGACCTCTCGTCCCACGTGGAAGGGACGTGGAATGTTCGTCTGTAGGTGCCCGTGGGGTTCTCGTTGGGCACGTATGGCGGGTTCACTGGGATGGGGAACTGTGTGTTGGTATACCACGGGAAGCCGTGTCCCTGAAGTTGCCAATGGCCAGGGACGTTGATGGTGCCCCATTCATCCTCCTTGTCTTCTGGCAAAGGCGCCTCCTCGGGAGTGCCGGCCATGTGGAAGTCCCAAACGCCATTGAGAAGGATGGACGTCTCTGGGATGAAGTATGCGCGAGGAGGAAGGGTGTTGCGCCTGAAGACGGAGGGGTTCTCATAGTCGTGGACTCCCTCCTTCGCCTGGAGAGACAAACTTTGAGAGGCCATCGTGGCGGTTTGGATGAGGGGTAACGATGGGCTGAGACACGGAGCTGGGGTGGGAGAAGAGAGAGGGAATGTGAAGAGGGAGAAACAGGAAGGGGTAATCAGCCAACTTGTTACCAAGGTCCAGTCGTTATTTATTCGTCCTCGCTTTCTCCACGCGAAGTAACACGTCGGACGCAAGGCCGAGGGAAACGCCAGAAATACAGTCTGCAAGCACCCGTATCTCGCTCGTGAAGCTTAGGTTTGTCCCGCCATATGACGAGGGAGCGTGGGGCAGAAAGACTGGAGCAGTTTTCGGGGTAGCTCCGAGTCAGGTGGTGTCGGTGTAGTACGACCCCGAGGTCATCCTATCCTGGTGCTTTCTTCAACTTCTTTGAGAGAGACTTCTGTCCTACTAAACTCCTAGTAACTCTTAGCAACTCCGCACCATGAGGACGCAAGAGGGATAGTCTCCCCCAGCCCCGTGTGGTTCTGATTGGATCCGGGGAAGTCGGGGCCGGACCCGCACCTCCATACGGATACAAGCCGGTCTAAGTTGATGCAACGTCTGACAACCCTGCCAGTCAGTTCGCCTGTTCCCCCATGGGCCCCAATCTCTTGGATGGACGGAAAGTCGTTGGGTGTCTGTTACCCCGGATTGACATTGTCTAGACCCCGGCTACCCACGACTGAAAACTGCAAGCGCGCCCGTGGTGTTGGCTCATGGCTGATGGTCCGTCGTGTCACCCCAGGTTTTTTCGTAGTTTCGGCCTCCTGGGTCGTTCTTTAGGATGGTATGATGCCCCGAATGCGGGGAGACAATATTGTCTTATGATGGGCTGCAGAGAGCCTTAGAGTCTGCAGCGAGAACATTTAAGAGGGCCGTGTTATCACCTCTCCATTCTTTCGTCTCCATCGATGATACCCTTCCAAGGCTGTCAAGACCTCCATCTCTCCACGGTTCCACTGTTCCTGATTCCTTGGTCCACCCCTTCCGAGCTGTATTGCTTGCCTGCAGTTCATCCTCCACCATGTCCGACGAGAAGACCGATCCCGTGGTCGGAGGCCACGCCGAGGAGCACCGTGATGACGCTGCTGCGGAGGTCGACACTGCCGTCCACATTGCCCATCAGACGCAGTCCGGCGCTTATTCGCCCTGGACGCCGCACATGTTTCGACTTTACGCTGTGCTTACTATCGGTTTGTGCCTTGGTGTTTCGTATTAGTGTTGGCCTACTAACAATTGTGACAGCTTACCTCAATGGAGCTCTCAACGGTTACGACGGTTCCCTTGTAAGTAAACCCCAAATCTGAGCAGCATCATCATCTAACGAAGTGCTGTTTAAAAGATGGGAGGCCTGAACGGATTGAAATCCTACTTGAACTACTTCCACAAGTGAGTAAATCGAAGAGCCAGGCTCACCGAGTCTTACAATACTGACGCGAATCTGACAGGGAAACTATTGACCAGAGCACCGGAATCATCTTCGCCATGTATAATATCGGAAGCGTCGCCGCCGTCTTCTTCACCGGACCTGCAAACGACTTTCTCGGTCGCCGATGGGGTATGTTTATCGGGGGTGCCATCGTAATTATCGGCACTTGTATCCAGGCTACAACCAAAACGTACGAACAACTTCCCTTCCATGGTCGCATACCTATCATAGGCTAATAATTCGTAGTTCTGAGCAATTCCTTGCTGGGCGATTCGTCCTCGGATTTGGTGTCAGTTTTTGCTGTGTCTCCGCTCCGACCTACGTAAGTTTGATGAATTGCATTCTCCCTCATGTAACATGTCAGCTAACATGCCGCGTATTTAGGTCTCTGAGATGGCACACCCGGCATGGCGAGGAACTATCACCGGCGTCTACAACTGCACTTGGTACATTGGTAAGTCTGACTTGGTTTCCTGCATGTTCTCTTACTCCAGGCCTAATCACTACACACAGGATCAATCATAGCCTCCTGGGTCATCTATGGATGCGCCTACATCGACGGCGGCGAGGGCACCAGTGCTTGGCGCCTGCCCATTTGGCTTCAGATGTGAGTCTCTTCAATGATCTCCTACCCTCCACGTGATTCTTTCCCAGGCACTAACAAATTCCTCTACAGGGTGACCTCTGGTATCGTTTGCGTCGGGGTCTTCTTCATTCCCGAATCTCCGCGATGGCTCATGGCGAACGACAAACACGAAGAAGCCGCCAGAGTCCTTGCCAAGTACCATGGCGAGGGCTCGGTCGACCATCCCATCGTCCAGCTCCAGCTGAAGGAGATGGTCTCTCAAATCAGCACAGATGCTTCAGATAAATCGTGGTGGGACTACAGCGAACTCTGGAAAACCCACTCCGCCCGTCGCCGCCTCATCTGCGTGCTGGGTATGGCCTTCTTTGGCCAGATTAGTGGTAACAGTTTAAGTTCTTACTACATGGTAATTTCACTCCTCTCCCTTTCCATCACCTCTACATGTCTAACATGATTCTAGACGGTTGTCCTCAAGAACGCTGGCATCACAGAACAGCACCGTGTCCTGGCATTGAATGCGATCAACCCTGTTCTGTGCTTCTTCGCATCCCTCTTCGGAGCTCGCATGACGGATGTTGTTGGCCGCAGACCCCTACTGATTTACTCCATCATCTTCTGCTCCTTCTGCTTCGCAATCATCACGGGAACCTCGAAAATGGCGACGGATGATGCTAGCAACGTTGCTGCTGCCAACACGACCATCGCCTTCATCTACCTCTTTGGCATCGTCTTCAGCTTCGGCTGGACTCCTCTTCAGAGCATGTACATCGCCGAGTCCCTCAGTACATCCACCCGCGCCAAGGGTACTGCCATCGGCAACTTGGCCAGTGCCATCGGAAGCACCGTTATCCAATACGCCAGTGGACCGGCTTTCCTCAACATCAAGTACTACTTCTACATTGTCTTTATCTTCTGGGACCTCTTTGAAGCAGCGTTCATTGTAAGTTTTGAACTGTTGTCCCACCAGTTGCCGGTTATGCCAGAGCTCCGCTAACGTGACACTAGTACTTCTTCTGGCCTGAAACCAAGGGTCGCACGCTTGAGGAGTTGGAGGAAGTCTTTAGCGCCCCGAACCCTGTCAAGAAGAGTTTGGAGCCTCGGTCGGCCGAGACTGTTTTGAAGACTATGCAGGTCGGACAGGACGAGAAGGTGGCGTATGTCTAGCAGACAGTAGATATCTTTACCGGGCCGGGCTTGTGCGGCATTTGCGGGGCGATACCGGTCCGGACGCCGGATCGAGCGCTAGGATTCACCTGCATTTGCCGTCTATCTTGCTGTCCAAATACAATCGAATCTCGATGTTCTTAATAACCATTGGAAGAGCCTGGATTCAAGTGTTTCCTCCAATTTGAGGCGTAACGTCAGAATCAGTAAAGGCAGTCAATAATCCATCAATGTCAGTTGATGGTACGAAAAAGGCGTCCGTCGCTGTGATTGGGGCGGCACAGCTAAGGAAGAGTCAAGAGGTCACCTGTCACATGTGCCTCTCTCCAACTCGTGAGAGACGCGTGCCACGATGGGACATATGCCCGTCCTTGTCCCAAGCGATGGTGATATCCCCGGCTTGGGACCTTGTGTTCCCCTCATAGACGTGCCGGGGCTGCACGGAGCAAAACGACGGGAAGCCATAGAGATCCTAGACTGAGTCCAATCTGCACCCGACATCCCACCATCCCATGATCCCACAAGCCTTTCCCCTTCTTAGCCAACCAAGCCCACCCCGTTATGTTTCTCCAATCCTTCCTAGACCTCAAGTAATGAACCCACCCCCTTCTCCACATCTTCCTCCTCCCCCGCACCACACGTGGGTGCATATATGCATGTCCTGCTGCCGGGATTCTCCCTTTGACCCCCTTGTGCCGCCCATTCTTTTTTTCTCCAGTCCACTGCCCCCAAACTCTGCTCCGACTCGGTCCGCTTCGGATCGAGGATCCCCTTCACTGCGGAACCAGGCTTTTGTTTGCTGTTGGAACTTTGTTGTTGCTGTCGCTACGCCATGCCACCCAGCAGTTGCGATGGAGCCACTGGATAATGACACGATCAATGAGCCGTCGAGGAAGCGGCTGAGGACAAGTCATGCGGTATGTGAATTGCATTTTCTTAGGTCCTTTCAAGCAAGCAGTTCACTCCCTTCCTAAGTATCGTGTTGGGGCAGACCAAGGTGTCGCTTCGTGTGTATTGCCTACCTTATTCCACTGTCACCTTGAGCCACCAAAAAGGGTTCTTCACGAACATTGCTGCAACCGAGAATACTACACGCTTGAGTATTTTCGTTGCACCATTGCGAAGATCTTCACTCATTTCAGAGTACCATTTCTTTGAGCTTAAACTCTTCTCCCCACATGCTCTGTGCGGCTACCCAGCCGAGAACCCGAAAAGCTCGCTGACAGCGCATCACAACCTTCAGTGCGATACGTGCCGCGCAAGGAAGATCAGGTACGTGGACCAAGACGGCCTAGCAACCCAGGTCCAGGCCGAACCAGTCTCTCGGGACAGCATCAAGATTAACGAGACTTTTACTGCACAGATGCAACGGCAACACGCCATGCGCATCCTGCTCTGCGTCGCATCAGGAATGCACCTATGGGTCCGAAGCTAATTCGTAAGTAAAGAGTCCGGTCCTCTCAAGAACCACACTCCCTCGTCTCCGGCGCCGTGATCCCCGGCGCAAAACACCGACTTCCGGACGCTCGGGGGGGGGGGGGGGGGGGGGGGGGGAGTCTGGACTCTAGAGAGTAAAACTTGTTTGCTGTGAGTCTAGATTCTGACCATCACGTCATCAGGCGCGGGAAGAGCGACCTCATCCTAGAGGGCGTACTCAGGGTGGAGAAGTTTCTTCATGAGATGAAGGCCACCATCGTCAGTCCTGTCTCCTCCACGTTTCACTTTTCACCGAATCCATCTCATGATGGTGTGTTCAAGGGGACGGCGCCGTATGCCGATCACCGTCCGTCCGTGGTCTCTCCGGCCCTCCGATCCGCCTCGCGGGGGTCCTTTTCCGGGTCGCCGCTGAACGAGATCCATCACCCACAACGGACCCCTATCTCGGAGCCACAGTATCAGAACAACTTTGAAAACGCCGTGCTTGACTCCATGCATACGAGTACCACGGAGTCCGTACTACAATGGCCTCACTTTGACGCCTTTCCGAACATGAGGGATGGATACGTGCCCATCTTCCACCTCGAACAGTCACGGCCCGCGGTGAAGACGCGCGCAACCCCCGTACACCCTTATGTAACCGCGGAAGACATTGACGAGATCATCGAATCGTTTGAGCACACCATCAACTTCTGGTATCCGACCATGTCTCGCGGCCAACTTGAGCAGGTCCGTAATCTGATCTCGGATGGCATTCCCGAGGGAGACAGCATTCTCGTATGTCTTGCGCTGCTGACCATGGCTCTGGGGTGTGTCGGCCTAGTGACAACGGGATTGGCGAGCATGTCGCCTTTGAGCGAGGAGGATCGTAAACGAAGAGCTTCCAAGAGAGCCATGGGTGACATGTACTTTGACAGCGTCTTGAAGAAGTTGCATGTGGTGCATACCAACGTCGGAAGCACGGCAACACATTGCCTGTTCTTTACAGCGTGAGCTCGGAACTTCGTTCGTATGTCGGGTTAGAAACAGCCACTGATTTGCTTTCCAGAATGTACTTTGCCTTCCTCCGTCGGCCATTGCAAGCATGGGAATACATCAATGCGGCATCGGCAAAATGCCTCTTACTCCTGTCTTATCCGCCAGAGTCTGAGTCTGCGGAAGACCAAGAACGAATCCGAAGGATCTTTTGGTCTTGTTACATTCTCGAGAGGTATTTTTGTGACCTAGAACTCTGCCGAATCTACCAGCTGACACATCTCAAGTGACTATATGGCGGAGCTTTCTGGCCTCCCGCAGTCGGGCGTCGCCCGCATCGAGTCAACGACCCCTCTTCCAGGAGAATACAGCACACACAAAGACTCGCAAGTCGAAGAGCAGTCCTCCCTCTACTTCCTCGCCTGCATCTCCATGCGCCGCCTCCTCAACCGCGTCCACCAGCTTCTCTATGCACGTGGAACCGGCGCAGCCCTCGACCACGCCCGCTTCCCTTACGTCGTCGCGGAACTCTACCACCAGCTCGACGACTGGCGCGAGGTACTCCCTCCAGCTTTCGCATTCGGCGTCGGGTTCAATGAAGTGGGGAACAGTCAAAGTACCGCGACGGAGCACGGAGGCTTTCTGAGGCAGAGGTATCTTACCTGCAGGAGTGTGATTTACAGACCATACCTGGTGTGGATGCTGAGTGGTATGGCTGGTGGGAACGGCTCCAGCTCTGAACTGCTGGTCAGTCAAGATGCGCTGAAGAACTGCAAGGCGTGTCTGGATGCTTGTTTGCTCCATATCCTCAACTTGAGAGGCTTTGGACAGACGGTCATGGTCGACACGTGGATCTGTTCTCTCTCGTAAGTTGTGACTCATGACTGTTCCGCACTGAGACATTATGGCTGATGCGTAAACTACAGTATGGCTGGCGCAATGCTTGTTCTGCTCGCTGCATGCCGTATCCCGGCATTGAAGGACATGATCGGCCCTGAAGTCCTGGGCGCTGGCGACCACTTGAAGCAGCTTCTTCAAGGCTGGCAGAGTACTATGGGCGAGCCCACATCTCCGAGCGTGAACCAGGCGATCCGGATCATCAGTGACGTGGACCGTTTCATCCAGGAGGTCTATCGAGCTGGCGAGTCCTATTCCATGAGGCGACATCCATAGCTCAAGTAAGAAGGAATCGGTCGCGGAGCAAATCATCTCAAAGTAAATATTCATATCTGGTACATACATTTACAGAGTAGGTTATATGGCTAGTTATTGGGCAGAATACAAAACCAAAGAAATCATGCAAGCACGTTGCACCATCATCTGCGCTAAGCCTGGTATCGCGCTCATCCATCCTGGCAAATAAGGCCAGATGTTCTCCCAGACCTTCCAATCCCCGTCCCTCATCTTTACCAACGAACTACTTAAACCATTTCAATCGATACTGTCCATATTGCCTTCGTCCTCCCAGAGTGTTGCAAACATGGTGCTCTCTCGTCAACCGCCGCGCCCTCAAAGATCAATCTTGAAAGCAACAACACTGCCAGCCATGAAACCTGTGACGAACAACCACGCCTTTCTCTCCCCCTTCTCTTGAGCTGGATCAATAGCGACCAAGACAGCAGCCGCTGCTGACCGGGCTCTAGTGCCATCATCCTCGAACACCAACCTCTTCTCGTAGCCACCATCGCTGCCCGCAGCCGGCTTGACGTACCAGACAATCGACCCAATATCTGACGACGTGTCGTGGACTTGCTTCGGGATATCAATAGGTCGCGAGAGACCAGGGAGCACGAAACCGCTAGCATCGAAGGCCTCAGTCTTGTACGGATCGTCAAAGTAGCTGGGGTTGTCAATGTACGAGTCCACCTGGACGGACTCGGCAATGTTGATGGAGGTGTTCTTGGGGTCTGAAGAGGCCTCGCCGATGAACATTTCGCCGCCGGCGCAGTTAACAACTAGGACTTCTCCGGCCTCGCGACCGTGGCCCATGCCGTTGTTGTTGCGCATCCCCGAAAGAGCTACCTCGGCCTTGATGCCTTCTGTGGGGACCAAGGAAGACATCTCTTCAATGTGAATGTAAATGGTGTCTGTCCAGGTGGTACCGGGCCACACATCCTCGACGAGTCTCCCGACACCATCGGGATAATAATGATCGTTGGTTACATAGAATGTGTAAGGATCCTTGATGAAGATGTCGTTGGGGGTCCTCATTAGCGGGTGGATGACGGTCCGCAGGTGCTTAACAGTGGATGATCCGAGGATGTGGTGAAAGATCTCAACGCGCGATTGAGACTTTTGGGTGACCTTCTGAGAGCCCTGACCTCCGACCTTGGTCGCTAGATAGTCTGGGTGTGGTACATGGTTGACTGCAAAGATGTAGACTGCGTCCGCCTTCTCGGGGTCCGAGATGACATCGATGCCATGAGTGACAAAGGTTGTGTCAAAGTTCTCAAATTCAAGTCGTCTTTGGGTCATGTCCTAATCAAGTAAGTTGGATGTGTAAGACGTTGAGCGCTACTTGAAATTTCAAGGCCATACCTTGGGATCAATGATGTGAAGAGAGCCCTTTTGTTTGCTTCCCGTAAGTGGATCGTCAAGGGTGCCCAGACCCGGGAACCATTTGCCACGGCCCTCTTCATTATCTTCACACGCAGTGAAGAGCAGACCACTCGGGGTATGGTAATGAATATCTTCGCAGTGAACTGTGTCGTCAATGTAGATGAAGTCTCCAGCTTGCGCCACTGGGGTGTTTAGCTTCTCTCGTCCGATTCCCGCAAGGGCGATTGTCCTCTTGGCTGCGGGAGCATAGTTGTAGCCTCCAAAGATGGCGAGGCCGGCCACCAAAACGGGCACCAAAGCCGCCATGTTGCAGGCTGATGACGAGGATGATGAAATGAGTCTGATGGATCGATGTGAGAAGCAAGCTGTGACAGAGTACCGATTCAACCGGCTGCAAAGTAAGATATATAGTAAATGAAGAATTGAAGTCGTATACAGGTATCCACAGGCTTCCCGGCGGCTCAATGGTTGCCCGTCGCCGAAATCCGGGCTCACGGGGTTCAAACAGTCGAGGTGAGGAGGGGGTGAAAGTCCGTGATGTGGACGGAGAGAAGTGCTCGGGGACCAGGTGAGATCCGCTAAATAGCGTTCAAGGTTTTGCGGGAGTGGAGGTGTCTCGGAGCTGAATACGTCACGCGTGCGGAGGAATCCCACCAAGCATGAGGGTATTCTCCCGGCTACGCAGTCGGGTAGTTACTAGTAGTAGAGCAGTTTCTTCAAACAAACCTCGGCTTAGTTGAAGCTGTCTTTACTCCAATTACAAAACAAATGGAAGCTGAGGTAAGCAGGAAGGATGCTATCCTTGTATCCAACCGATTGGAAAGTCGGGTCGATTAATAATGTCTATTGTCTGTGAACCGTAACTTCGGCGGAGTTGTTGGGGAAAAGGTCAAAAGAGTGGATTTCCGAAACCGAGAATCGAACTCGGGGCTATGCCTAACCTCTCACAGAGATGAGAGGGCATCATGTTGGCCACTACACCATATCGGATATGCTTGATGAAAATCCCGCCTGGGGGGATTGGAACAAGTCAGTGGGAATTGGGACAAGCTGGAGATTCTCGTGGTGGGTTCGGTGGGTTTGGTGGGTGACGAACGGCCCCTCGGCGAGATCTGCGAGCCATTTGCAAGATGAAGTGGGTTGACGATCAGAAAAATCAAGGCAGTAATTTGACGAAACCCGTCTGCGTTGTCTCTGCTCCATAGGCGCCACTTTCTGCTTGGCAAATAGTCACTCAGTCAAGATAGCAATGGGAGAAGTGAAAGGGCATCCATCATACGAAGAAGTAGAGTCAACTACATCAAAGTTCCATCACCCGTGTGGCTATAAAGGATGGAATCAGAACCTTTGGGTTCAGAGTCCGTGTAGCACGAGTCTAGTGGAAGACCATGGTCCAAGACCCCCAACTTTCAGCGGCGTACGGTGGTTAGCTCCCGAACAGACACAAGACGAAAGACCCCGAGAGCAGTGATGAACCAGGTTCATGAGAAAGAGTCGATTAAATGGGGCTCTGCAGACTCTAATTATCGCGACAGGAGGGTCCGCAGCTAATACGATAGCTCACATGCCCTATTGGGAATCGGCCAAAGTCCTGGTTGGTCCAAGGTTTAGGGGGAGCTGTGGCCAACAGTCCATTGTGCGACAACTCTATTCTGTCCGTCTTTGACCAACACGAAGAAGAAGAAACCTCCGAGTGGACCGCTGAGCTTGTCAGGTTTCGGTGAGAGTCTTACCTTGACTAACAAGGCAGTTGGCATAGACCTTGAGGCTGCAAGAAGGGACCACGATGACACTGTTTGCGCCATAACGGCTAGTCGTGTGGCTACAAGTGTGAGTCCCTTCCGACATACCTATACAGTCTTGCCCTAGGCATTTGTCTGAGAGAAACGTTGGCAAGATCAGGGTAAAGGTTCCACAGTATCCATCGCGGGAAACTTGGATACCTTGATAATGCCAGCCGCGCGTGAGCAAAAGTCAACTCCCACACCATTTTTCTATGAAAACCATATGCTGGAGAAAGCCATCAAGGAGCCTCGAATGGAGAAGTGGCAGAGATTTCTACTCTCGAAACCCAAGAGCATCTTTCTTTGCCTCTGGTCTGGCCACCAAACTTCCTCGCGCGATACTCTTTGGCCCTCATTCTTCAGACATCTACTAGGATCTCCTCATCCCAAGCCTGACCACCCTTTTAAGGAACCTCGAACGACAGCAACACCACCAGCAACAATGAAAGTCCCCACTGCCCTCCTCCTGGCCCTCCTGGGCCTGACATCCTCCGCCATCGCCGATGGAGGCAAGAAAAATGGGAAATTCCGATGCCTCGACCGCAAACACTACCTTCACAACGTCGGAAAACGCTACCGCGAGGAATGCACAGGCATCGGATCGACTGTCGGCTCCACCTCGGCCACCGGCCACTGCAGGATTACGTGCGACCACCTCCCCACCTACGCCGAGTGGGCCAAGACCTACGAGAAGGACGTGATTCAGAGGAAGCTGGAGAGGGAGCTGAAGGCGCAGCGGGAGAAGCAGCGGATGGAGGAGCTCGCGAAGAAGCTTGGCGTTCCTCCTATTCCTGATGCTCTTGTCGAGGGTACGGCTGCTCCGCCCTCGATAGAGACGGAGGAGACATCTCCCGAGGAGCCTGCGAATGTACTCTCTCCTCGCTTCGAGTCTTCTCCCAACCCCGAGATCACCACGGCACCGACCCCAAAACCGGCAAATGTCGAGATCACAAACACATCGACTAAGCCCTGCAAGCCCAAGAAGATCTCTGGCTACGACCCTCTTTGCACCCTCACTCGCAGAATCCCCCGATACTCCAATAGCCAAGCCGCGCACTCTTCCTCACTCCAGGCAGAGGCTTCTTATCCTGCGAGAGCCTCGCGCTACAGCGCATTGCTCATCGATGCCAAGCCTACCGCCGTGGAGAAGACTGCCACCGTCACCGCCACCGTCGAAAAACTTGTCACCAAATGCACGTCGTCAGTAAAGCCTTCAACAACCAAGGCCTCAACCACCAAGGCTACAACTCACAAGGCCGCCGGTAACAACACCACTCCTACTCCGACAACCCGTCAATCCTCGGTAAAGAAGCAGACGGCGGCGACGAGCACGGCTACTACCTCTTCGGCGAAGGCCACCAAGACCGTACATGTAGCCTCCGAGGGCTCATGCAACGCTATCATCTGGTCGATGCTCGTGGCGTGGATTGGTGTTCAGGTTCTGTTCCTGACAGTCATGTAGTCACACTGAATATGGTCATGGCACTGAAAGGGAAAAGTTTGTTTGCGCGAGAAATAACTCGGATTTAAGGGGGAAATGGCCTCGATGCCCATTCATTCGTCTATGATCAAAAGTTTTGATAGTCCAATACCCAATAGTAATCTAATGTTTGAAAAGTCCTGTCTCGTGGACATGTTGGTCGGCATGAGCATGTGCTTTATTCATGGCAGCCCCATCCTCCCAAAAACAAAAGTACTTTTCATTCTTGGTTGTTGTCAACCGTATATCTTAATCCAAAGAAATATAACGCAAAGAAATCGTTAAATCATCACTACCTCTGTGCCTCCAATACCTCTTCTTCAATCTCACTTTGCTGCCACGGACAGAAAAGCTCATCGTCTTCCTCCAATCACCTACTCCCCCCACTGGAGTACCCGTTGCCACCCTTCTCCCGCATCTCCTTCTCGTTCGTCATCGTCCGGCTGCCGAGGGTAGGCGAGGACTCGAGCGCAACGCCGCCAATGGTGTAGTAGTGGCCAAACACACGGCTTTCAAGGTCCTTGGTGCCGCCGTGAGCCTTGTGCGCCACGCGCCGGAAGTAGACGCGCTTCGCCCACTTCCACGACTCCACGCCCATGAAGAAGAGCACGGCACCGACGAAGACGATGCCCCACTCCCAGGTGATAGGTGCATGCTTGAACACCTTGGTGTTGAGCACAGGAATGTAGGTAAGAGGGAAGATGGTGATGAAGCCGATGAGGATGGCGAAGAAGAGGAGCTTGTTGCGCCAGGTGTCCCAAAACCATTGGGTGAAGTACTTTGTGCTCTTGGGCTGCATGCGGAAGAAGGAGCGGCGCATGTTGACCATCTCCCAGGCGAGGAAGAGGGCCATCCAGGTCAAGCTCGCGAAGCAGGTTGCGCGGGCGCGGAACACGGTATCGCACTCGTCCGAGTAGGTGTTGTTGCAGTTGCTACCGAATTGGCCGTTGCCCCAGCCGAACATGACGAGGACGAAAGATGCGAGGCAGAGCGTAGCGGTCCAGACACCGTAGACAAGCATGTCGAGCATCAATTCCAAGGTGAAGACGCCAATTTTCATCTAGATTCGGTCAGTGTTGTGCACAAGACAAGGGAAACAATAGCGTAGGGCAACTTACGTCTTGAGGAGGTCGGTCCATGATATCTGGGGCAGCGACTTCGAACCCGAGAGCCATGTCAGGAAGACCAGAGGTAATCATAATAATCCACATGACCTCGACAGGTGCAAGTGGGAACACGGAAAGACCACTGTCATCCTTGAAGGCCAAGCCGATGAGAAGAGTCAAAGCCTGGGCGACGTTGCAGGCTAACACGTGCAAGACGAATTTCTGGATGTTGTCAAACATGCGACGACCTTCCTCGACGGCATTGAGAATCGATGCAAAGTTATCATCGGTGAGAATAATATCGGACGCCTCCTTGGCCACATCGGAGCCGCTCTCGCCCATAGCAATCCCGACGTCAGCGCGCTTCAGACTGGGAGAGTCATTGACGCCATCGCCAGTCATGGCCACAAAGCGCTCGCGTCTATGGAGGGCCTCAATCATGCGGACCTTGGTCTGGGGGGCACAGCGAGCGACTACCAGGGGAAGATTGGGTAGTTTATCGATATCGTCGTCCGAGAGCTTGTCGAAATCGTGGGCAGCCATAACCATCGTGTTTGCCACGCTTGCCGAAATCTCGTTCATGCGCGTGGGCAGAATACCGACCTCGAGTGCAATGGCACGAGCAGTTTCGGGATGATCGCCGGTAAGCATGTGGACGCTTACACCGGCCTCATGGAATTTCTTGACGGAAGGCCCGGATTCGGGCCTGGGAGGGTCGTAAAGACCGATGAGGCCACGGAAAGTGAGGTCCTTCTCGAAGTTGGCGCGGTCGAGGTTGTCATGGTTGTCAACGCTGCCAATGTCAGACTTGCTCGCAAAGGCCAAGACGCGGAGTCCAAGGCGGGCGAGGGCTTCCATGTTGGACAAAATGTCCTGCTCAATGGCCTTGGTAAGCTCGACGACATCATCGCCCATTTGAATCGTAGGGCAGGAAGAAATGACTCGCTCGACAGCACCCTTGGTGAAGAGCCAAGTCTTGTTACCAGATGCTGCCTTTGTCTGGGTGTCCTCGAAAATGACGGACATCTTCTTGACATCAGAGTCGAAGGGGAACTCGGCAATTTGCTGCCAGCGGTTGGACTCGCCAGCGAGACGGAGTCTATTCCAGTTAAAGCGGGATGCGAAAACCTGAATGGCAATCTCGGTAGGATCACCACGTGCGTGCCACTCTCCCTCGGGGGTCTTGTGTACATTGGCCAAGTTGGCGAGGGATGCGACATTGAAGTAGTCTGTGAGAACAGTGCTCTCTCTGACACGATCCTCGGCGTCAGCATTGGAGAACGGCTCGCCATCACCCTCCTTGGAACTGAAGTTGATGTCCTTGGGCTGGTCAGAGCTGTGGCCGAGATCTCCCGTCGTGGGATTGAAGGGCTCGTTGGTGTTGCTGACGGAGAAGGTACCCTTTCCAGGAACCCAGGCCTTGCGGACGACCATTTTGCCTTGGGTCAGAGTTCCGGTCTTGTCAGAGCAAATGTCTACGGATGAATTAGTATTTGCCGTTGATACTATGCGTGGAGTGTAAACCTACTCGTAACACCGCCAAGGGCTTCTAAACTCTTCAGCTGGCGAACAATAACGTGACGCTGGACCATGCGTTTCGTGCCAGCAGCCATGGTAATAGTCAAGACGACGACTAGTGAGGCGGGAATCATTGCAAGACCAGTGGCGACGGCGTAAATGACGACCTCCTGCGTGGTGTTGAACTTGTTTGCACCCAACACAATCAGAGCGCACACAACAGCGGTGCCGAAGAGAAGGATTGCCAACTTGGATAGCTTCCTTTGCAGAGGCGTTCCAACGTTGACGCCCAAGAAGCGTCCGACAGCGTCGGAAAGGGTCAACGTCCATGCCTGAAGATAGCGACCAAAGGTGGCAGAGCCGTCCTCCTTACGCTTGACCTCTCGGCGGCGTGAGTTCTTGCCCCGAAGGGCGGCAGCAATCTGACCAATTTCGGTATACATGCCAGTAGCGAAGACGATACCGCGGGCACGCCCCTTTGTAACGGTTGAAGAGCTGTAGGCGACGTTGAGGCGGTCACCAGGTCCCGTCTCATCATCAAACGTCTGAGCAGCCTCCTTGCGGATGGGAAGAGATTCTCCCGTCAGCAAGGCTTCATTTGTTTCAAAGTTGACGGCCTCAATGATGCGAACGTCGGCGGGAATGGTGTCACCAGTCTTGAGCTCGACCATGTCACCGGGTACAATTTCGACGGTGGGGACAGTGATGTTTCGTCCCTCGCGTACAGCCTGAGCAGTGGGTGAGCTAAGCGATCGAAGTGAATCCATGGTCTTTGCGGCCTTGAACTCTTGATGGAAGCCAACAGTGATGTTGAGGAAGATGACGCCTGCGACGACACCTCCTTCGATCCAAGACTTGATACCAAAAGAAGCACCCATAGCCAGGATCAGAACCTAATTGAACGACCAGGTTAGTCTGCTGCCCTCTCGTTAGAGGGCTGAGAAGGCGAGGAAGGCATACCAAAGTCATTGCGTTAGCGATTTGTCCAATGAAGATCTTGACGGGCTGAACGCCCTTATCGGCGCCGAATTCGTTGCGGCCATACTCTTCAAGACGGGTCTTAGCGTCGTCGGGAGTCAAGCCGTCGTCTGGGTTGGCCCTGAGCTCCTGAACGACTTCCTCGGTAGCCAGAGCATGTGCCGGGCGAGACATGGGCTTATTAGATTGGCCGGAGACGTGGTTGGCCATGGCCTCGGCCTCGGGATCCTTTTTTCCCATGTTGGCAGTTGTTTACCGGGAGAGAGGGTGAACAAATCGAGCGTGAAAAGCAATAGTAGAAGCGTCGATGTACAATCTTCCGGACTATATTACTGTGGTAGAATATCTCCGGGAGTTGCCAAGAGCGGTCTTCGGGACCAATCGGAGTAGAGGGAAGTGTAAGTCTTTTGACAAAGATGGGTTGGAACGGGCAAAAGTGTGAGTGCTCTGCTCTTATCCAGGTTCAAGCACTTCTACCCCCTTAAGGTCAAGAGAACAGTCAAGCATGAGTGGGAAAGATGAGGTAATGGGTAAAGGCCGCGGTGAGACTTTCTCCTGATTGTGTCGAGAGAGATGAGGAACAAAAAGCCAACACTTGAGAGGGGGAGTTGGGAGAACATGTATACATGTACTTGAAGACCCGGGATGGAGACTCGTCTCTGGGCGTTATGACTTCATAACGAGATAGACGGACAGTACGAGGGGGGGGGGGGGGCGTAAAACGCCCACATCTGTCGCTCCCACATCTATCAATCTTCTCGTGGTCCGTGACAAGCGTTCTCGTGGGTGTCGTGGGCGTATTCCTTCAGCCTTGGCGGCTCTGCGCGGGGCTCTGCTCAGGGGACCCCCAGGCTTTCCAACCTGTTGGAGCAGTCTGAAGCTGTTTGACCGAAAATCGGTCGTGAACACGCGAGCGGTTCAATAGCACGCAATCCAGATCTTGGTTGGATCTTGACGCTCTCGCCTGCCATGTTGAGCCGCCGAGACTCTAGGCAGCGGGCCTCATTCTGGGCAACCCGCTCCTCGAGAGGCTGAGAGCGGTGCTGGGCGTTGTAATGGAGAATATAATTGGACCCGCCAGAGACAAGAAGATGGAGGAGGGGGTGGGTGAGGTTGAGGGATCGATGCTTTCGGTGATGAACTCGGCTGCGCCCAGAAAGATAGAAGACGAGAGTTTCTGCCTTCTCCACTACGCCACGGCCAGTAAGACATCTCTCTGCCTTCCAAGAAACATCCATTGTGGGGATACCCTCCTTCTAGAAGGTTGCTAGTTGCAGGTGTGCTGTCACTTCTGCAGTAGTGTATCTGCAATAGTGCCAATATCGTATATTGTGGTTGGCCGTAGACTGTACTGTGTTCCCAAATCTTAGGCTGTAGGTTGACAGGTCTGACACCGGCGGGCTTGCGGTAAGGCCGAGTCTAACTGTCACTGAGTTGACTCCGGGGAGTCCTATATCTGCGGATAGGGACAATAGTTTAGAGATGAAAGCCGCCGCCGGGCGATGATCATGGCTGTCGCAAGGATGTGTGTACATCCAAGAGAGTGCCGAGAAGCTAGTTCGTCTTCTGGGCAGCGCGGTTGATACGTTGGATACAACTCTTCAAGACTCGTGTTTGATAGAGGGGATTCGCGACGAGGGGCTCCGTGCCAGTTTCCCCGCCGATCTCCACTTTCCCCCTTGCCGGCTGCGCGGCGGCCAACTTCTCCTCCTGCTCTTCCGGCTCCTTCATGGCTAGGACCTAGACATGCCGGGTCTGGAGCTGTGAGCGACGGGCGCCAGAAGGTGACGCACACACCATGCGACGGCCGCACCACCTGGTTGGGAGGCCTCTCAGTGCTCTACACGGCTATAAAGCGCCGTCTGTTGTCCGGGTCGTGACAGGTGAGCGGGTGGATTGTTGAACGTCTTCGGCGCCAATGGCAAGACGCCGGCACCGTCAAAGTCGCAAAGGCCCCCGATATCTCCGGCCGCTCTTCAAGTTTCCCCAGCCAACGCGATCAACTTCGAATCGGTCGGCGGGGTCCGAGTTTCCGTCAACCCGGACGCCCATCTTCAAGTCACACCATGTCTGCACCGCGCAACACCAGTCAAAGTCCTGTCCTCGCCCTTCCTCTCGTCCTCTCCCTCATGGCTTGCTTTGGACCCCGCGCACGAGAACGCCTGCCCAGACTTCACTCAAATTACCGCTGCGAGGGACGTGGAGAGGGCGAGCATGAACCGGGATCTTGACCCAGTATCACCGACTCACGACACTCCGGGCGCAACACGGGCGGGGGGAGAACGGGTCTGCCCAGGAACACAGCCACCCCGAGTGAGACGCCTAGATACTGGGCGAGAAGTGCAGAAGCCTGATTCGGAGACTCATCGAAATGTGTCGAAAGATATCGTGAGCCCCTCAGATAGGCCGATGTTTTCTCTGGGCATGGGAAGACAAGACCGCGAATAGCCCGGCCTATCCATCTACAACCACGCCTTCCCGCGTATCATGCCAGTGCATGTTTGCGGGATACTCGGAGCAGGGTCTTTGCCAAAAATCCTTCCAGCATAATACTTCATCGCCTTTCTCCATTCGGTGTCGCCAGAGACACCAGTCGGCTGATGGTATTGGATGGCGGACGTCTTGGCCGCCCCGAGGTGGACATGCGATGTGGGTTGCGAATAGGAAGAGTTGAAGATCTGATAGGTCAGGCTGCCAGCCAAGGGATGCCGGGCCACTTGGCGGTTCTTGGCCGTTCAACTGGGCGCCGGCGCCGCTCCTCCAGAGTCCACTTTCCTCTCCTCCAGCGCCGCCGACGGCTCTTGTGTGGATGCTTCCTGGTGTTGGACAGTTGGAGTGGATGTTTCCCACCTCCAACCCACGGGGACTCCACGGAGGTTCATTAAAGAGTTTCCAACTTTCCGGAGGGGTAGGAGTGGAATGGAGGGGCACTCCCTGGTGAGAGCCTTTGTCACCCCAACATTCCCCCGCCCATCCACTGAAAGGTAAGGATATCTAAGGCCAACCCCTCGGTTGCTTCGTTTCTGCGTTTCGTCCCCGGCCTCTTTACAACTCGGTCTCTTTGCCCAGGAGTCCAGACTTCAGTCTCTTTTGGTCTCCATTTGGGAGACAGAGACAAGGTTGAGAGGTGTTCCGCCGCTTACCAAGGATACCAAGACCAGCATCCCACGCCGGTTTTACGTCACAAACCAGGGCTATTTTCCTTGACCCCCAGAAATAGTTGCACTCCAACAGGCGTCTGATTCGGTGCAGTTTGCAGCCAAGGATCTTGGCCCACGAAGAGCGATATCGCGAGGATTTTCGGCCGGGACGAACAGAGGAAGTGAAGGTTAATAAGGCATGTGTGGCCTCGTTGGTAGGTGCTCATCAACTCAACTCATCGTTATCTCAAGCAAACGGCGATTCGCAAGGAAGGCTGGGCGCCCAGCTGTGAGAACACCATAACTGAGCGCCAGTGCTCTTGGTCAAATGAGGGGTATTGGTGGCTGATGGCAGAGAGCTCGCATCTGGCGTATCACCAACTCGGCTCTTGACTCCAACCATTCATAAGGGTTCTGTAGGTAGACCTTGTCGGCCTATGTAGCGTTCGTTGTCATCTGATTAACCTGCATTTCGCCGCCGCTTGTTGGCATACTCTGAGTTAAATGGTCGCCCACGCCGCATTGCTCACAAATGTGATGCGCAATTTTGGAAGCCACAACACAGCCCGTAGTTGACACCGCAAAACTCGCGATTAACCAGCGCCAGAAGCTGCCAATCGATATTGCATTCAAGTCGGGCAAGGAGTTTGGCATGCCCCTCGTTGGGCACCCACAGGCCGCATGGACGAACTTGGCATAATTTTGCTCACGCTTTTCATGGTCCTTCTTGTCTGCGGGCCGCTGTACAGACCGTACTGGACCCCTCTCTCCCAGTCATCAATTGCGACAAGGAGCTGACGAGCACGCGTGTCGATAGAGTCCGCATCACGTATCTGCGCATTCAAGACCGTCGTAAATACCATCCTAGGACATCCAAATTCCAAGATGCCCGACGAAAACTGAGCACGGTTTCCGAGTGTAATAGCACTACCCTTGAGGGTTTGGATCTTGAGTCGAAGCTCAATCAGCATGACTCGGACCCGGAATGGTGCGTATCTCTCGCCAAGTCGTCCACAGAGGGGAAGGCCTTTTGGTGTGAGGCGTGCGCTATCTCCGCGGGGGAAGCCGACGACAGAATTCGTCAATGCATAATCCACCGAAGTCGCTAACGCTGCCACCGATAGTCCCATCTGCATCGGTCCACTGTTCGTCTCAAACACTTGCAATGCGGCCGGAGCAATACCGACGCAAGCAATCACCCTGAATGCCCCCGATTCCGGTGGGGATACCCGTGTCCCAGAAGGAAGTAGGGGGGAACCAAGCCGGTATACGATCGGAGGGATTGAGAGCCGTGATGCGAAGGCCGTACTCCGAAGTGGGAGGATGCCATGGCCGTGGAAGAGAAGATTGCCCGCGTCGGCAAGCGAACCGTCCGAAGATGATATTTTGACGCTGAAAAACTGCCAACATACTTTCCACGCCAAGTGTCTCTCGTCATGGTTTCTGATTGAGCGGTTTGACTGTCCCGTTTGCCGAAGTCAATATTGGCAGACGCGGGAGACCCGAGCGAGGGCGGCGACCGCACCGGCGCCGCCGGTGCCGGAGAGCGAGTCAGGTATCACACCACCAGTCCCGGCTCGGCTGGCGGCCGGCCGGATGGCAGTGCGTGTGATGTGATGCCAATGCGTGTTAGCTTGGAATATGGTTCGCCACCTCTCTTCTCGTGCTTTTCGAGATACCCGCGCGCGATGGAGCAGGTGTCGATTCGTGTACTCTGGTTTCTTAGTTTTCAAAGTTTGTATCCTTGTGTATCACAGCACCTTTGCTAGCCAGTTGTTCATGTGTAAGTGCAACTATGCAGCCGTTCCGCAAGGGTCTAGTTACCCATGATCGACAGGTGGTGCTGTCTTGTTACGTACCTCATGAGATGGTTACTTTAGTCTTGTTCAACCAGCCGGGCACCACGAGTGGGGAGGGCAGCGCCCAATCTGGATGCGCATCGCTAAAGATAGCAATGCTGTCGTGGTCGAGGAAGGAGACACAGAGACGCAGACGTCAGTGCAGAAATTCGATTCTCGTACGAGAGGACTGCCAAAGGCCCAAAGATTGCAGGTATTGCCGAGGAGTATTGGGAGCGTAAGCCAACCACGAGGGAGCCAGTAAGCGAGAGTTGGAGGACATCGAGATCGCATCGTCATGGAGCCGGAGGTTTTGCTCAGCTCACGGACCAGAAGGTCTGGGGGTGGCGCACGGTGAAGCTGGAGGTGCAGAGGTTGGCTGCATGGTACATTCGTTGGCAAGATGTGCAATTGATACGGGAATGCCACGATCGGATGGCTGCTTGTGTTCGTGGTTGACGGTAGGTATTCAATCGTCGAGGTAAACTGTATCGTGCGCGTTGGTTCAGCACCGAGAATGGCATAACAGCCGTGGGTTTGCACTTTGCCGGACAAACAGCTGCGGCGATGTGTACATACTCCGTAGACTGCATTCGTACAAGTGCTGCAGGGCAGGCCGCAAGTTCGCAACTACCAGTATGTATTTTTTGAGGTGGAGTCCCAAGTTCGAACTGTTCTTCGCTTCGGCAAGGATGGTGAGACTTTGGCTGGGTTCGGTGAGCTCAACTTGCGCAGGACTAGCAAGATGCATCACCTGCTTGGATGATGAATTGGTGATGGAACAAGCCGAACGTGAGTGGATGACGGAGCTTGTGTTCCTGGGTGGTACTCGTATAGGCACGGCTCGAACGTCTGCCTCAGTGCCTACTAGTGAAAGAAGCAGCGACTAATGATGGCACTAGGATACATGGTGTTAGTGATGGTCTGGAAGACCCGTCTGAGGTATGGTACGGTACACTGTAGTACGGTAGGCTTGCCAGCTTGGTGTCGCATTGCCTTACCTCGCGCCGCCCATGAGAATTGTCTCTGCTTGGATGGAGGCGCCTGGAGAACTCGGAACGCATCGAAGTTGCCAAAGTCCTAGCACTTGATCATGGCGGTCTATCTCGTAGTCTCGCCCTTTCGTAGGCGCGCGTGGTTCTTCGCTCTTGAATACCTACTGCTATGTGGATATCGACATCCCTGCAGCGGGTGCAGTGATACGATGAAGACTCGAGAGGAGGGGAGAGGAGAAAGGCGAATGATAGGCCGTGCATGTCTCTGCCTCTGTCTCTGGCAATGGGACGATGAGGTCATGGCCATGAGGCTGAAATGTGAAAGATGTGTGGACTGTGGATGCGTGCCGTTATGGAAATGTTTTGCGGCAAATCTGCGATGGAAATCCAATGTCGATCCCACAAATGGAGAATTGGAGACGGGGAATTGGACATGCAAATTCCACCCGCTTGGTTCCATTAGGTTCCTGCCCGGTGTCACGGATGTCTAGGCCCGCCTTCCTCCCAATGCTTCACAGTGAAGTTCACATTGAGGAAAGAACTGCCCCAGTGCAGTGTGCCCCAGGTGAAGGAAAGAGATGAGCGAGGTTCTTCCATTGTTATTTGGAATTTGCTACGATGGGAACTTCCTTCCCGAATCTAAAAAGGCATCGGACTCGCACTTGCCATGCACTCGGCTCCACAACCTAAGGGAATGGAAGGAAAGCACGACGGAGGTGTCGTGCCAGTGACGTCGGAGCTCCTGCTGTTGATTTAGTCGAGGTGCGCCTGCTCTGCTGGAGGAATGACGCACGACGTGTGGTCTGTGCTCTCCGCACCTACCTCATAGCTCTGGAGAGGCTTGACACCCGACTGCATCGTCCCTTCCTTCCGTTCCACTTCCACGGTTGCGAATGCACTTTCCCATCCTGTGCTTGCTTCTTCTTTTCTTCTCCTTCTTTTCATTACCAGGATTCCGTGAGGAATCATCCTTACTCATCGGGCAAGCGCTTTCTTCATCTTTGATTGAATATGGACTGTGGCGTCTAAACTGCCTCATTACTCGTGTGGCGGTTTCGCGTCCGCTCACTTGATTCTTAGAGCGTTTTTCTCTACCTGACTTTATTGATCCCACGCGTCATACCTCAAGGAGCGAGCTTCGGACCAGAATGTGGTACCGTATGGGACTTGGTCCATATTAAAGTAAGAGAAGAAGAAAAAGTAGAGTCTAGCACAGCACCGAGAGGAGAGGCAAGCTCGAGGTTGAGTTGCCCTAACCTTACCTCATCTCACCTGTTTCTCTATCTCTCTCTCACATCACAGACATGATTGGAAAGTGAGAGTGAGGGAGTGAGTAAGTAAGGTAAGTGGTGACATGTTTGGGGACTCAGAGCACCTGCCTTAGCTTCCATTTCCAATTCCCATCCTTCCCGTCCATTCCCCTACCCAAGGTAGTACCTACCTCAAGCTAAGGTAGGCACTTGCCTACTTTACTAGCCCGTTCGCGCCAAGGTACATGGCCATTTGTACTTCCGTCCGACCTCTTTCTCTCGCATCGCTCGGTCTGTGGCCCCGTTGACCTCATCGAAGTTTTTCCATCTCTTCGTCTTTGCCTCTCTCACTCCTCCCATTCTGTCACTCTCCCTCTGTCTTTTCCGCCCTCCCATGTTCTCATCTTCTGCTTGACTCAATGCGCTGGAATTGACAAATCTCGCATCAGCTCAGGTTCAACTCATCCCAAATCACCTACTCTTCTTCTGCCTTCTCATTCAGTCGCGTTGCGCCTATCGTCGTTCCTCTTCCCGTCCTCACTCAAGGGCATCATCCTGAACTACCAAGCAAACATCCTTCGAGGTACCTCACTCGACTCGAAATTCGGTCACCTGCAGCAGCCCCAATGCGTCTCTACGTAATTCGCATCCATCTGATACCCGGCCATCCGTATTACCTTAGTTCCCACATGGCAAACATCCACCTTCGAGCATAACTATCCTAGGGTTCTATACTACTACGCGCTTTCATATCCGTCATCTTGCCGGACCACTTCTCGCCAGATCCGCCCGCTCCTCCCGTCATTGACTGCATGAGGAGCTTTTCTTCCGTTACGGCCAATCATTTGTTGTATACTCGACGTCTGGTTCGTGCCACGAGCCCTCTCGTGCCGTCACCTGTCCCGCCCCTGAGCTCATCGCTCGCTTGTGTCTCCCACCCCCATCGATACTCAGTTGGACGCGCTTTTGTTTTACTTAATTGCTCGTACACCACCATGGCCGCACCCAAGCGAAAGAAGTCCGGCATGACCAATGGACAACCTACTTCAGAGCCTGCCAAACCCGTCCCCGATACTCCGGCTCCGCGCCGATCCGCCAGAAACATCAGCGACGTGAAAATTGTCACCAAGCCTGGCGCCGCCATGAGTCCCACCGAAGCCGATCTTGCAAAGGACCAACCACCGGCCAAGCGCCGCCAGATCAGCCGCAAGAAGGCCGAGTCCGAGAATGGCGTGCGCCATGCCATAAGAGAGCTCACCGAAATGGAGAATCGTCTACAGAACTCTACCAGAAACCAGCGTCTTGCCATCGAGTCAAGCCATGTCCCGCCTGGTTCAACCAAACCTAACTCAGACGAACACGCGTACAAACCTCATATGACAATCTATGCGTCAGATCCAGAGAAGCTCGCTCGGATGGCTGAAGAGGAGAGATCTGGTACTCCCAGCCTGGACGCCGCCCCAATCGAGGGCCCAGATGGTGAAGGCGCTGTCGGTGACGTCGAGGACGACAAGATGCGCCTCGAGAACGCCCCGGAGAGAGGTGCTGGACGGGAGCCGCCCGTTAATAGTGACTACCTGCCCCTCCCATGGACTGGAAGACTGGGTTATGTATGATCTTCCAAATCTTAGACCTCGTTGTCGGCAACTAACACTCGACCAGGCTTGCCTCAACACCTATCTCCGCGCGGCAAATCCGCCCGTCTTCAGTTCGAGAACTTGCCGTATAGCCTCCATCTTGCAACATCGTCACCCTCTCGCAGATCCATCTCAGCCTGAACACGCCACCAAGAATCGCCCTGACGAGAATCAGCCGGCCGATATCCAGCGCGGCCAGAAGTATGTCGAGGAGCTGGGATTGGCCAACGCTCGGGACATTGTCAAGATGCTACGGTGGAATGACAAATACGGCATCAAGTTTATGCGACTCAGTTCAGAGATGTTCCCGTTTGCAAGTCATGAGGAATACGGCTACCGCCTTACTCCCTTCGCCGCGGAACCTCTTGGAGAAGCTGGAAAAGTCGCTGCACAATTGGGCCACAGACTAACAACGCACCCCGGCCAGTTCACCCAGCTCGGTTCACCACGCAAGGAAGTCATCACGGCCGCAGTTCGAGATCTGGAATACCACGATGAGTTGCTCGGCCTTCTTCGCCTCCCGGAGCAGCAAAACAGAGACGCCATCATGATATTACACATGGGTGGCACCTACGGCGACAAGGCATCTACGCTAGATCGATTCCGTACCAATTACGCCAAGCTGTCACAATCTATCAAGAACCGACTTGTCCTCGAAAATGACGATGTTGCTTGGTCTGTTCATGACCTCCTACCTATCTGCGAAGAGCTGAACATTCCAATGGTTCTCGACTTCCATCATCACAACATCATCTTCGACGCAAGCCAATTGCGTGAGGGTACTGAGGATATCAGAAAGATTTACGATCGAATCAGTGCCACATGGACGCGCAAGAACATCAAGCAAAAGATGCATTACAGCGAGTCGTGTCCAAGCGCCACCACACCCCGCGATCGAAGGAAGCATTCTCCGCGCGTGCGCACTCTCCCGCCATGTCCTCCAGATACGGATCTCATGATCGAAGCCAAGGACAAGGAGCAGGCTGTCTTCGAGCTGATGCGCACATTCAGGCTTCCGGGGTGGCAATCGTTCAACAACGTGGTCCCGTACGAGCGGGTTGATGAGATCCGGGCCAACAAGGCAGCCGCTAAGAAGGATGGCAAAAAGAAGCCCAAGAAATCCAAGAAGAAGAAGAATGAGGATGAGGAAGATGAGGAGCCAGAGGAAGCTGGTTCCGTCGTTGTGGAAGAGAAAACCATAGCCCCTGAAGACTTTGGCATGGGCGGTCCACAACACAGGGTATACTGGCCTGAGGGCATGGAAGAATGGTTGAGGCCCAGGAAGCGGGAGGTGAAGAAAGGAAAATCGACACAAGTCAAGGATGAGATTAAGAAGGAGGATGACTAGTGTCGTTGTTTTATGGCACAACAATTGGGGTTTCACCATGTACAACCTGTATACCAACAAGGCTGATGCGTTATCATCGAGGCATGCGTCAGAATTACGAGAAATGAGATGAGGTATAACGCTGTCAACCAAGGAATAGACCGGCATGAACTTACCAGCCATGAATGAAATTATACAAGTTGCTAGACTGTCGCGGTGTGTTGGAAGCATCGAAGTTGGTATGAACATGGTAAGCACCGTTGCACTCGTACTGGCGAACGGGGTGATAGGGCTAGATTTGAAGGGTACACGACATCAACAATCTATTCGGCGGGGAAACGGGTGTTCGAAAAATCCCACCTTCACCTCGGTTTTGCAAATTGAATGCCTGCTCGTTCCAAGTGCTTGACAGATTGAGATTGGGAACCGTGGTAGAAGAGAAGGTCGCGCGGATGGTCATACGAGTGCGGGATCAATGAGACTTGGCCGTATACACAGCGAAGCCGATTGCTATCAAGAACGTCTTTGATATCAACAACTGCCGAAAGCCCACCATCACCGCTCATCCCAATTGTGATTTTTCTCCAGCAATCGTTCGAGTTTTGCATATCTCGATAAATCTCGACCCCGTCGTAAGTAGATAACGGCTCAATTGAGCCGGGCCACCCCACATCAGTCACCTTCGAGAAGGGGGTTGAGAAAAAAAAAAGTCAATGACCAGATGATTGTGATAGCCACGCGGGATAGATTGACAACCAACAGTCCATGGGTACTGCAATCGTCAAATCACCTCTGCCGGCTGCCCGTTGTCGTCATTTCCGCGCCAAGGAGGGTTGCAACGACTTTTCTTATCAAGGTTACAGCAGGCCCGGGGGTCGAGAAAGCTTAGCTCGGGAGGAGATAGGATGGCGAGAGGGGAGGGGGGGTTTATCCTTGAACGGCTCGATCCTGTTCCAGAAGATGTAGAGAGACAGAGAGGCATATCGCGGGGGTTCAGGGTATCTTCGCTCTGGATGGGTTGAAGTGATGCCGTCAAATGCCACTCTCTCTGTGCGACTGTGATATCGGCGCAACAGTTGGACGGGCCGACATCAGAACTGCTACGTTACGATCAATTGAATTCATAAGAGACCTCTTCCCTCATATCCAGTCTCAATCAAATTGTCTTGATACTATGTAGTCTATCACGCACCTGGTTCCCCGAAGTCAGTGCCTCCATGACCTATACCGCCTGAACTCGTCCCAACCCTGAGACACGATACACCAAACAATGTCTGCCCACCACACCGTACCCGTGCCGCCCACGGACGACGTCCAGAAAGCTCAAAACAAACCACAGTCCCTCCTCGACCAGACCCCGTCCCGCCAAGATGGGCAAACCCTTTACACTATGGAGCCGGCGGTGATCCTGCACGACCCCAACGTGACGTTTGAAGAGTACCTCCACTGGGCCGAAGTCACACGCGCCGAGGAGAAGCAGGCCAACGAGCGGTATCTACACTCTCGAGGACCCGTGACGCTCAAGAGTGTCGTGAAGGATCGGTTTCGGAAGGGTGATGAGCATGTGAGGTTCCAGGGGGCCAGCGAGGGCAGTGGGAATGAGGATGTCGGGGCTGGGACTGGGGAGAAGCGGAGCGGGAATGGGAGTGGAAGTGATAAGGCTTTACAACCTGCGGAGAGTAGGGACGGTGGTGTCGTGACGCCAGAGGAGTGGAAGAGGGCGAGCAGGGCGGTGAGAACTGCTGGTTGGGGCGCCGTGTTCTATCTCATTACCACGGATATCTTGGGGCCGTTTTCCACGCCGTGGGTTCACTCCTTCTTAGACCATGGCTGAGTCTCAACTAATATGATATTCAGCTGGGCCTTTGCGCAGATGGGCTACGGTCCAGGAATTGCGCTTTACACCGTTTTCGGGGTGATGTCGCTGTAGTAAGTCGCCCAAATACATTATCCATCTCAAACAACAAATGACTGACCAACTCAAAGCTCCGGCTGGATCCTCTACAAGGCCTTCCTTGGCCTCGACTCGGACAGATACCCCCTCAGAGGCTACGGCGACCTCTACTTCCGCGTCTTTGGCGCAAAGGCACGGCACGCCATCAACTTTGCTCAAGGTCTCCAGCTCCTGCTCTTCGTCGCCGTCCTAATCCTCGCCAACGGCCAGTCCATCTCGCAGATCAGCAAGGGACCCAACGGCGGAGCGGGCATCTGCTTCGTGGCGTGTCTTGTGATTTTCATGGCGGCCGGGTTCATCTTGGGCCAGATCCGGACGCTGCAGCGGTTTTCGTGGATTGCCAACTTGGCTGTGTGGGTGAATCTGCTCATCATCTTTATCTGGTGGGTCTTGAAACTGTCTCCAGCTCGCGGGTTCAATGTTGACAAGAGATAATATAGCATGGGCGTCGTGGCACACTCCCCTCCCAACTTCGCCGCAACCCAGGCCTCCTTCGGCGACACCTTCGGACCCGGACCCGTCATCACCTACGCCGGCACGCCCCCGCCCGGCATGGCCTCGGGCGGCTCCGGTTTCCTAGGTTCCATGAACGGCCTGAACCAAGCCGTCTACTCGTACGGCGGCTGCCTCATCTTTGCGGCTTTCATGGCGGAGATGCGGCACCCGATGGACTTTTGGAAGGCCCTTCTCTGCGGAGAGGTGTTCATCTACGTGTGCTACCTCGTCTTTGGGTTGTACGTGTACTCCTTCCAGGGCCAGTACGCCTTCAACCCCGCCATGCAGAGCTTGTCGCCGTACTGGTGGCAGACGGCGACCAATATTCTGGGTCTGGTGACGGGGTTGATCGCGGCGGGGCTGTATGGGAATATCGGCATGAAGGTCCTTTACGTCGAGCTGCTGCAGGAGATCTTCGGGGCGCCGCCGTTAACCGAGTCCGCGGGCAAGATGCTGTGGGCGGCGGTGATACCCGTGTACTGGGCTCTGGCCTTCATCGTTGGCGCCGCTGTGCCGCAATTCTCGCTGGTGTCTGGGTTCATCGGGGCGCTGTTTATCCTGAGCTTCACGTACACTCTGCCGGCGCTGTTGGGTTTGGGCTATTGGATTCGGAAGGACGCAATGGTGCCAGAGGAGGAGTCGTTTGACCCATCTACGGGCAGGTACGCGTATGTTGATGTTGGATTTCGGCGATACCGAAGGGGGTTCATGAAGAGGCCTCTGTTCAATGCTTGGAATATCATCTACATGCTGGGAGGGCTTGTCACGACGGCGCTGGGCATGTATTCGTCGATTGAGGGATTGATTGCGGTCTTTAACGGGAAGTCTCAGGCTACGAGTTTTGGGTGTGGAAGTCCAGTCTAAGTCAAAGGGGCTGGCTTACTTATCTGGATAGAGCTCGGTAGTTGCTGCTGGATGGGGGATCTTGCTGTTTACTCACCTAATACGATATCGCGATGAACGTGTCATTTCGTAGCTTCGTACCAGTTGAGGATAGTTCACTTCTAATCACGGTCCTCTGAACAGAAACGTTTTAATACTTTGGTCATTAGGATAGCGTTGGGCCATCGTGCTAACTATTTGTTAGACTGGGTATCATGTAAGCAAGCCCCTAAGCTTCTCTGTCGTCTTTCGCGCACCCGCCCTCTGGTCATGTCATCACGATGAAAGCCATGCCATGGCATTACCGGAAAACTCGTCGTCCACCAGTCCGGACCGGAAATCTCTCCACGCCGCTGCTCTGCTGCTCGTGCCACAAGCCTTGAATGCCCACCCAGCCTCCATCTCCCGATAGCCTGTAACGCCGCCACGCTTCGCGAAGATGGTCTGGTCGTAAGGGGCCTCTCCTGTCTTCCATCTGGGAAGCGTCGTCTTTGGGCGGCGGAGTGGGTACGTCGGCCTGTTTCTCGCCGGTACCTTTCATCCACTCCCCTTGCACATCTCGAGCTCTCTCGATGAGCTCGCCGATGAAAAGCTTCGAGACAGACTTGACGGCGAGAGCGACGTTGGGTGGGACGGATTGCGAGACTGTCGCATTGACGACCTGTGTGATGGTTGTGTCAGTGAGATTGCACATCGCTAACTAGCAACCAGGTTGTAACTCTTACCCTTTTAACTACGGACTCGGTGAGTTTGGCCGCACGCCAAAGTTCGTAGCGATCGTACTGTTCTGGGTCAAAGGACTCCACGAGCATGGCACGGAGTCTTATCTCCTCTTGCTTCTGCTCTTGTGTCCTGACCGTAGAATCCACCAACGCCATACGCATATCGTTATCGTCGTCGTCATCGTTGGCGCCTTCCTCTTGTGCATCACCTCCAGTGCCTGCGCCGCTGACCGTTGTAGGCGCGCGTCCGCCTACGAGAGAGGGCGTTTGTTCTCTGGTCTCAACGTTTGTCTGGTTCTTGGGCTTCCTGCCGCGCTTCTTCTTAGGAGGCGCGCTGACTTGGCTGCCGCTGACGACACTAGCGTTGTCTACCGACGGCGAACGTGGGTATGGAGAGCCTGCTTCGGGCGGGAAGGAGGTCTGGCGAAGAGGGTGGGCGGCGGCGGAGGTGACGGAGAGTGTCGAGGCCTTTCGGCGTTTGGCAGACCCTGGAGGGGCGCCATCTGATGCTCGCTTCTTGTTCGACATGGGGAGCTGCGCGGGTGACGGATACGGCGGCGAGTGTGCGGTCGGAGAGTATGAGTATGGAGGGGAAGCCATCGTAGAGACCTCGTGGTGGATCGCAAGGAGGAGTGACGAGCGCCGGCAAGCGCAGTTGCTATATCGAGACGAGCGGATGCGCTTTTCGGAAGGATCGAGATGCTGATGTATCCGAAGAAGGTGTTTGTCAGGTTTCGTTACGTTCCGCAATCCGTAGGTTCAAGTAGGGTTGGAGTCGTCAAGGTCATGGAAATTCTTGTCCAGCATGAGCCTAAACGTGAAGGCGCGCCGCGGTTGACGGATTAGAAAGAGTGGAGCGCAGTCACCTGGATGACTAAGGTGAGATCGGGTGTTTCCTGGGTTCCGCCAGCCAGCTGTCACATGACTTTGGCCTGTCCTTGGCAGTGTCAAGGTTCACCTGAGCAGGCACGCAGGCTAAAAACAAACGGGCGGGTGTTTGAGCGAGGTTCCACTGAGGGTACGTACTGCCCGAAATGGACCCTTGCGTCAGACGGGAATCGGAGAAGTGGGGACCTCGGGTACCTAACCACAGTAGCCAGTCACCGGTCACTAAGCTCACTGGGGACTGAGGTGCAGTGAGCGCTGAACGTGGCTGGCCGCTGCACCGGTGACTGGCAGAGTGCAGCACGTTGCAATCCTGAATCCTGGGGGAGGTACCTCTGTAAATGGCGCTAAAACCCCCCGATAAGATAACGCCGCCCGAAACCGAATTTTCTGCTCCGATTTCCCTCCAGAGTCTTGAATGAGCGCAGCGGGGGCGGCCAGTGGACGGGCTTTTGTTCAATCTGGAGCACCCAAATGATCCCTCTCCCACCTTCATAACCACAACCACCAACCTCCACACCCAATTTCTCCTCCCCGTGCTGGATCCCGATATCACAATGACTCAATCAGAAGGCGCAGTGGTCAAAGACAGGAAGAGGAGCCGAAGCAAGCACCAGAATGGCCACAGTGGTTCAAGCGACGGGAGTGAAGCCGAGACCGCGAGCCAGTCCAGCAAGCGAAGCAGCAGAAAGCGCAAAGGCGACGACGATGCCAAAGTCAACGGCAACCACTCCAAGAAGCAGCGCCGCCCGAGCCTGAGCCAGCCTGCGCGCGATCCCCGAGACACTACAGCGTCCAAGTCCAAGAAGAAGTCATCCAAGCCCAAATTCGAGGGTGTTGTAACGAGGTCACCGAGCCCGGTGATTGACTTTGACGGCCTGAGTCGCCCAAGTAAGAGTCACGCCGTTCCCAACCCCGCGCCACCCAATTGACTAATGCGCAATGTCTTGCAGGTCTCGGAACCCGTGAACGTCTTGATGAGTCCCCCGAGCAGGCTGCCATTCGTCTTGACAAGATGAAGGGCGCCGTCCGCACTATCCTCGAATGCGTCGGCGAAGACCCCGACCGGCCCGGCATCCTCGATACCCCAAGACGGTATGCCGAAGCGATGCTCTTCCTGACCCGCGGCTACCAGCAAAACGTCAAGGACATTGTCAACAATGCCATCTTCCAGGAAGGCCACAACGAAATGGTCATTGTCAAGGACATTGAGATCTTTAGCATGTGCGAGCACCACCTCGTCCCGTTTACCGGCAAGGTTTGTAGACTTCGATACGTCCATTGATAATTGCAACGCCGGCTAACAAGTATGAACAGATGCACATTGCCTACATTCCCAAGAACCAGGTCATTGGCCTCTCGAAGCTGCCCCGTATTGCCGAAATGTTCAGCAGACGTTTCCAAATCCAGGAGCGCCTGACGAAGGAGGTTGCCTACGCCATCATGGAAATCCTGAAGCCCCAGGGTGTCGCCGTCGTAATGGAGTCCAGCCATCTGTGCATGGTCATGCGCGGCGTGCAGAAGACGACGGCTAGCACGATAACTAGCTGCGTCCTTGGAGCCTTCGAGAAGAAGGAAAAGACTCGGAACGAGTTCCTCAGTTTGGTGGGGTTGAAGACATAGACTGTCACAGACGGGCATGCTGGGCAGAAGCGCCCTGAGACATTACTTGAGGGGAGCACCTAAACCCAAGCGGCAATGATCTCATCTGATATTGTTCTACATATTCTCGGCGTTTGGTTTTTATGGGCATGCATCACGAATTGGAAAGACCATGTTTAACACTGGGTCACAAGCATTGGCGATTATTAGGAGGGTTAGATTTCATGAGAAGGGAGCTCAACGCTCGTTCTGGACTAAAAGATTTTTTTCAAGCGCAAAATACAACACCGACATTTTTGGTTACGGGCTGGCTAGATTGCTCGTTTTCCAGCCACGGAATAATCAAGCTTGCTGCCTACCTACATCCGTCCTCACGCCTACCAGCATATTCGTCCGTCATCGTGCTCTGGCGCCCAAGCGGTGAGACGTCTCCCTGCATTGATATTCGCTGCAAGGGAGCGCAAGCCATGTCGCCATGTCGCCATGGAGCTGTGAAACAAGGCCAATTGGCACTGACTCCGATGCGAGTCGTGGCAGGAAACATCCGTTGTGGGAAGGGAGCAAACGCAAAAAGCCACCGCAAAACACCACAACCCTCTCGCGACACCAGTTGTACAGGATAACACGATACAACAAAATACCAAAATGGAGGTTCTCCCCTTCCAGAATCGAACTAGAGACCTTTCGATGACAATGTAACCATTACAGTCGAACGTGATGAACCAACTACACCAAGGGGAGATGGGTCGGGGACTAAGCCCCGCTTGGTGAGATGTCCGGAGACGCCAGACGGCGGTCTAAGAATGGAGCAACTCCACCAGAGCCAAAGTCATGCATAGACAAGTGGGTTATAGAAGGAGTTGCTGGCCTAGCAGCTCCCTTCTAATAACTACTAGCATGTCTACCATACTACGCTTCTAACAGAGTGTTCTCCAAGGAATAGATAGAAGATTAGAAGTATATAAGAACGTTAGTAATAGTAGTAGGGTAGTAGGATCAGTAGGAATAGAGGTCAGGTGTTGAACGGCAAGTTAATATGTCGCCCACTTGACAGGTTAAGACTGGCCTTGAACTCATTGTAGTATAGCAGTATGAGGTAGTATCATTGATTACCGAAGTTGATTCGCTTGTCATCGATCGTAAGGTCTAACAGCTGCTCGTCTCATTTCCTGTCCCAGTCCTTGACCTACACAGCGTGGATTATTCTACGAATCGATTGCTTGAACCCCGATTTCTCAGGTCCGTACATATCCTCTTGTGCCTTCTCGTGTCGGATTGACGCAAATTCTGTTTCAAAGTCTATTTCACCCACCGGAATCACTCGAGATTTGAGGTAGAACTTGAAGAAAATATAGATGACTGTGCAGCGTTAGTTCATGCCGGTGGCGTCGACGAAAGAAGCTAGAAACTCACTCGCAAAGATGAAGACGTTGAGATAGCTTGTCAGGAATCCCGAGGCGGTAAAGTTTCCAGTAGTGAAGACGTCGAAGCCTGAATGGTGGTGTAAGTTGGGAATGGCTCAAAACATTCCGACGGCTAGATAAGACAGGTGACAGCGTACCTGAAAAGAACACAACGAGAACAACCATGACAAGGGTTGCCCACGATATGTAAGGCTGGCCGGGAACCTTGTATGGGAGTTCTATGTATTTTGTTAGTCACAACTGCCTGGCATACGCGTCTCACGATGAGCAACTGACCATTTCTAGAATAGCCCTGTGCTTTAAGCCCGGCGAAGAACCGAACGTACGTGATTTCAATCACGATCCAACCGATCAGACCGGCAACCGTTGTAATATTGACAAACCAGCCAAAGACAACAGAGCTGTTGTTGGCAACATTAAGATAGACAAGCGGCATGAGGACACAAGTCAAGCCCACCGCGTAGTGAGGTGTTCCGAATCTGTTGCAGCGCTGAAAGATCCTCGGGGCGTGGCCATCGCAGCTGAGACCATAGAGGGTACGAGACGCGATGAAGACACAGGCGGATCCGCTGCTGATGGCAGAAGTGCAGACCACGGCGTTGATGATGGACGGCAACACCGAGACACCGGATCGGGTGAAGGCGATGACGAAGGGTGACTGTTGGGCGGTTCCGGTTGAGATGCTCAGGGACGGGTCGTTGGATGGCCTAGGTGGTTTCGTCAGACAGGTTCTCGAGTAGCGTCAGTCCACAGGTAGGAGTCTCTTACACGATCATTCCCACGATCAGAATGCTGAGAACGTAAAAGAAGAACACCCGGAAGAAGGTCTTCCTCGTAGCTGCCGGGATGATCTTCCTCGGCTGCCGAGTCTCGGAACCCGAGATGGCAACGACTTGGATATTGCCGTAGCTGAAAGCTGCGGAGAGCAAGACTTTCCAGAAAGCCAGAAAGTTGCCAGCTGAGCCTGTGACAAGGTAGCTATTGAAAGCCCCTGGGTCCTGCCAGTATCGGAAGCCTATGCGGTCGCCGTTGGGTCCGCCGCCGAGATCTATGACCAGGCCGCCGATGATGAGGCCGATAATTGTCATGATCTTTAGAGACGCGAAAACAACTTCAGTCTAGTTGTCTTGTAAGTCACACAGCTCTTCAAGGTGAAGATGGGGCCTTGGTATCTTACTTCACCGTAGAGTCGGACACCGCAGAAGTTGACTGTGATGATGAAAACCAGAAATATCGTGATCCAAACCCCGGGGTTCACGGACCTATTCCAGAACTGAATCAAAGTTGCCGCGGCACTGATCTCAGCAGGAACAGAAATCGACATGGTGTACCCTTCTTTCAAGTCAGCAACATGCTCTAGGGCAGGTTCCTCATTTCGAATCGACTTACAAAAGTTCCATCCAGTGGCTGCACCAAGTGCTGGCTCAACAAACTTGGTCGCATGACGAATGAAACCACCAGTCGACGGCATGAAAGACGTGACCTCTCCCGTCGTGTATGACACGCCGGCGGTGACGAGCCCCATAACGATATAGGCTAAAAGTGCCCCGGCAGGGCCTGCTGTGGCAATAGTTGTACCAGAACTGAGAAACAAGCCCGTTCCCTTGGCCCAGTGTTAGACAAGAGACCATATCACTACATCTCCCATGCCGAGGAAACTCACAATCATTCCCGCAATGGCAATCATGTTGATATGCCGAGACTCCAAGTCACGCCTGATCCCCTCGCCATCTCCGGGAATAGAGGCGCTCTCGCCGGAGCGGGAGTCCACCTCAGGAGCGGCGCCAATGGTGGTCTCGTCCTTTTCCTTCCCCTCCATGGTGAATGGTTTGAAAGCAACTAGAATGATGGGCAGTATACGATGCAAATAGGTTTACTGCACACATCTGTTGGAGTTCGCGGTTGCATCTCGTTATGACATTCCCCGAGCAGCGGAGTGGGTTGATCAACATTAATGAATAACACCAGTGTAGGCACCCAAAAGTCGGTCCTGATAACGCCCCCGGAGCTGCCATCCAGGGTCGTAGGATAGGCGCAGCTCCGCAGCCAATCGGGCGCTGGGCCACTGTCAATGATTGACTTTGAGTCGCCGGTGCCGGGATCAAGCTTCGGCTTGAGACGCCGGTTGATAAGCTCCGTCGCGCATGAGTGCGGGGACAGAACGGCTTCAAAGATTGGATAAAAGCCTGGAAAACGCGATCCATGACCTGACAGCCCGGCTCAAAGGGCGACCAACGATGGACTCTGAGTACCTTAGGTCAAGCATCATGGCATCCGCTTCTTCAAGTTCCGAGGACGCCTTTCAGTTATTCGACCTGCGCGTTGAGGTAGTTTGCCCACCAGGCAAAAGAATCATGTGTGGCGCGAAAGAAGGAGACTACTTCACTTTGAAAGGCGAGATGTTGTATCTGCCACAAGACCAGGGCATTAGCATCTACAGCTTGTGTAAGTCGGCTCGTTTGTGATTTACTCGGAAGTTATGGTTTCTAACTCTCGATGCTTAACAACAGCGTCAGTGCTACCTCTACTGGCCGCAAAACAACGTGTGACTTCTAAAAACGACTGGATGACAACCGATGCATTGATTGCATGTCCTGATCCTTGCTGCCCTTCCCAGCTAAAGATTGTCCGGGAAGGCATCAGAACTTTCCGTCACTCGGAGACTACGGCGGTTCCTCTGAACAACACCGATGCACTCCAAGTAGACGGCTTGTAGAAACTCATCTACTTTACCTTAGTCTTTGCGATGTTCAAGCAAAAAATACGCCGTCTTGAGCATTGAACCCAGCTTCGGCCATGAGTTCAACCCAGGTTTCATCATCTGCAAAGTCCAGGCTCAGTCCGCCTTCCACCTGGTTGAAGGCTCGCCCTGAAGCTGCGGCAACGCCGGCCTCCCGAGTCGTATCCCGCTCGCCGGCTTGAAGCTGGCCACAAGACTCAGTAAGATCTGTTGCTGCCGACGCTTCGGCCGTGGGCTTAGAGATTCTAGCCAGGACGTTGTCGAGAAACCTTGACTGAAGTGCGCAGCTCGAGCCCAGCGGAGCAGCTTGCTGGGAGAAAACCAAGGCGGCGCCTGATATCGCACTTTGTATAGCGGGTTGAATTTGGCCGGCGATTGAATGGGAGGTGGATAACATGAGCTATATTCTAGTTAGACTGCGACGACAGAAAAGCAGTTGAATGAAATTCAGCTGGTCTTACCTTGATCAAGAAAGCTGCACTATAAGCAGTCATAACGTGAATAGAATCTTGGGCGAAGTACAGCCAAGAGGGGTGACGGCAGATGAGATGCAGCATCTCAAGGGCGCTCGAGTAGCTAACCCAGAGAGCCTCCATGTGGTATGTCGTGTTCTGGTCCGACTGCGCCAAGATGTCCTGTAACGGCAAAGAGAATAGTTGCAACCTGAGATGTGTGCCGTAGAACTGGATCAAGAAAGGATGGCAGCCGTCTAATGGTGCAGAGCTTTAGCTATGTCGCTGGCTTTCAAGGCCTGGAGTTTGGGCATACCTGTATCTGCTACGCTGAGCCACCTCGACTCCCATTCCTCGATTCTGCTCTTGATGATTGCAAGGAGAGATTCTAGGCTATGTAACTGTCTCGCGCGAACTCGACTTGACCTTGGTCCTAATAGCCTGAAGACCTCTGAACTCAACAAGCGTAATGTCACTAGCGCACCGAGTAGACGGTCGCCAGGAGTGGCCATTGAATCTTTGCACCATGGCTCAATGGACTCGATAAACTCGCTTCGTTCAATCATCCATGGCTTTCCAGTCTGCAAGCTCATGCTACGCCATGTTAGCTTTCGAGCCGCCACTCAGTCTTGGGCTTGATCCTACCTTCGGTCGTAAACAAACAGAATAAGCCAAGTTCTTTCGATGTTCCTCTTCTGACGTCTCTCCATGTCGGTCCCTGTGTTTGACTGTGAAGAATACGGAGCAAGCCGATGCCAGCCTAGTTCCATCCCCATCCTGATCACGTATCCTAAGAGCATCCAGGCACGCGTATCTTCGGACTCTTTCCAATAGGTCAGAATCATGACCGCCTGCGCAGTCTCAACTGATTTAGTTCCCTTCCGGAAAGTGGTGGCAAGGATGTCTTCGGCATGGTCGCGAAGCTTCCTGTACAAAGCAGGATTGAAAGCTTTCGCGGCAGCAGCCAGAATTGCCGTGAGAAGGAACGAAGACTCTTGTCGGATACGGCCGAAAGTGTGCAGGTGTGGATCCAGTTGACTTATATATGGATTGAGAGATTCCACAAAGCTGTTCAAAGGTTATTCTTTTGTCTCGTTGGGGCGAGAATAGAAATGAGATGCTAGAGACGAGATGCTCCAGAGGGGCCGGGGTGGAACAGGCATGGGACAGGCCGGGTTGTCATCCATTGACTCACTTTTCGAACAGGGACGAAGCGATGGAAGAATTGAGGAGACCGAGTTGAACTGGGTCGTCAGAAGGAATCCGCGACTCTTCCTGTTGTGCTTCTGAAGTGGTCGATTCTGATGCATTCAGTATGCTCCCAAGGGAGAAACTGCCGCGTGTTGCTGCACGACTGAAGAGCCCAGCGGGCTGAAGGCTTCCATTGCTCCAGTCTGGACTTCGTTGAATTGCCTGCGTCTGACCACTTCCCTCTCCAATTTGTCTTTGCTGTACTGACGGAGAAGAAGCGACTGGTGCTGTTGAACTCTGCGCCTTACGCTTGGGAGTCATGCTTCAATTGTTAACTTCTGTAGTCCTCCTTGCTTAGGCTCCTCCAGGTGGTACGCACCGAGTTCCTGGTTTTCTTCCTCGGCGGTGATCTTGGAAGATGCACTTTAATGACTTCCGGGTGCAACGATCGCAGACTGCTCCATCACCTACGGTGATGCATTTCATCTTTACGCTCCTGCATTGAAGGCATGCTTTGGAACTAATTGAAGCCATGACTGTTAGTCGGGAGAGTCGTTGCTGTCATTACAGACCATTGAGTCTTACACGGGGCTTGGGGTTTGGTGATGGTTGGGCATGCAGGTCCATCGTGTTGCTTTACTGTGGTAGATCGCCGGCCACCAACCATAGAATCAACAACACCACTGTTGACCGGCACTTGGACCTGATAAGGTCAAGGGGGGAAATTCGCCGGCTTCGGGGGCGTTGTGAATCCTTCTGGGGACTTTCCTATCTTCATCCACTTTTCTCCCCGCCGTTCCCAATCGCCTGACTTGGGTAATGATAACCGAGTAATGGGCCGGCAAGCTACGGCTCGACTTGTTGATCGCCGGTGGCTTCTGATAGTTGAGATGAATGCCGACGGATGCTAGCTTGAAAACAGGGTTCAGCTTGCAGCCCTGCGGCAGCAACACTGATTTCGTTGTGTCCGTACATCTGAGGGAAGGCTTACATGCAAGCCGTCCAGATTCAAGATTGAAGACAGGACTTAGATTTCGTCAAGAGACCTCCAGAAACTCATAGTCTCTCACTTTAGTCCAAGACGACACAAACGAAATGGCGGCAAGTTCAGAAGGTCAAAGCGCTAAGACGGCGCACGTCAACATGATGACGGACACCATCATCACCAACCTCCCCGCTGAGAATCTCCGGGTAATCATGCGATCGCTGTTGGCCGCGCATCCAGACATCACCACAACTTTCGAGGCTGAGACAAGAGCTTACATCAAAGACGTAGCGTTACCAGCAGCTCAGAAAACGCTGTCTTCGGAGGCATCGTTGAAGAAGACGCAGACGACTATTCGTTGCATGTTGGGGTGCGGGCTCAGTCTAGAGAGCATCCCGCTCATGATCAGGGTGGTCAGGGGCGGCACCAAGCTTCTCATTGATCCAGAGACCACTAGAGAGGAGACGACTGCTATTTTGGCATCCGTCGATGGCGACATTGTTCAGATCATGACCGCCATTGAGAAAAAACTGCTAGCAGCTCCGCGCGGATGTCTTATGGTGGACGATCTCGATGCTGTGACCAGCTTGCATGAGTCTCTCGTCAAGTGCAGAGTCACGATAGAAGAAAAGGGGCTGGAGTGTCCCTACACGAGAGCACTTTTCGCGATTTCCATGCTTCTTGGAGAACCACTTCCTGTCTTCGATCTGCCGTCGAGCGATTCATCGGGTCTATGTGCATCCCTCCCAGGCCCTGTGGAAGCGAAGGAGATGTTTGAGATGAATGGCTTCAGACTGCCTAGATTGTTCACCGGGCTTTGGCAAATGTCTAGCCCATCTTGGGGCTCAGCGCCTACATCCAAGATCATTGCCCAATTCTCCAGACACATGGAAGTAGGTCTTTCAGCGTTCGATATGGCGGACCACTACGGTGATGCCGAGATTATCTTCGTAAGTCTGATCACACCCGGGTATCTTTCAGGTAGTCTTGCTAAATAAGCTAGGGCCGCTTTCGTTCGTCTTGTCCCTTCAGCGATGCAACATTTGCAGCAACAAAGTACTGTGTCTTCAACCCGATGATCGTCACGCGTGCTGCTGTGCAAGCCAATGTCGCTGAAAGGTGCCGGAGGCTGCAGACAGACAAGATCGACTTGCTCCAATTCCATTGGCAATTCGTTAGTAGCCACCTAGGCCGGCCCGGTGTGGTGAGAATGACAAGCTGATCCTCTGTGCTAGTATGAGGACCCTCAGTATGTGGAGGCTTTGCGTGTCCTTGAAGAAGACCCCCGCGTCAAGACCTTGGGGCTCTGCAACTTCGACACTGAGCACATGCAAGTCGCCATTGACCAAGGCATCAAAATTCATTCAAATCAAGTGCAGGCATGCTAGGACCCCCGTCGACTCAAAACTCGAGGGGCGCAAACTGATGACCCCTTAGTTTTCGTTGATCGATAGCAGGCCAGAGGCTCGCATGGGCAAGGTCTGTCAGGAACACGACATCAAACTCCTGACTTACGGAACATTAGTAAGCTGAAAGAGAGCAATGTTATTATTGATTCGCTCGCGCAAATGCTAACAGCTATCGATGTAGTGTGGTGGATTCCTCGCTGAAAAGTGGCTAGGAAAGGGTCAACCGGATCTCTACGATGAGGCGATCACGCCTAGCCAGCGCAAGTATTATGCCATGATCCGCAGTTGGGGAGGGTGGGATCTGTTCCAAGATCTCTTGAAGGTGCTCAAGACAATCGCATCAAGACATAGCGTTAGTGTTTCCAATGTGGCCACTCGCTGGGTGTTGGACTTCCCCTACGTGGGGGCGGTCATCGTTGGGACTCGAATGGGCATCAGCGAGCGCGCGGATGAGAATCTAGCGAGTCTGGGATGGTCTCTGAGCCAGGGGGACCGAGAGCTGATTGAGGAGGTCTTGAAGAAGAGCAGGAGGTTGGAGATGTTTGAGGCGATGGGAGACTGTGGAGGGGAGTATCGCTAGAACTTGACTATTACCGTTGGTTGGTCTTACGTGATTGCCTGTGGGCAATGATAAGAGTCATCATACTCGTCACGTCACTACTAGTATCAAAGCCTATGTGGGCTTGCGCTACATTTTATCATTTTACCCTGAGTATGGTGATGATGTCTCGACGAGAAGTTCACTTATCGCCAGTGAGCAGGCGGACATGGAAAAAAGGCATAAGAAGCGGATGAGGGAAATTAACAAGTAATCATGACTTGAAGCAAATAAATAACTCTGACTCCATGGTATTCGATCAAGTTGCTGAGCGATGCTTCGTTGATAAGAGGGCAACGAGTCTCAACTCTATGTACCATCGCTCTAGCCTCGACTCAGCTCCACGAGCTGTCTAGCTTGAATATTACCCGCCGAGAACCCTATGAAAACCTCATACTGACCTTCTACAAACATCCAATCCTCAGTGAAGGCATCCCACACCATGAGATCATCGGTCTTCACCAACAACTCTACAGCCTTGCTCTCACCAGCTCCGACCTCAACCTTTTGAAAAGCTCGGAGCAACTTTGGTGGCTCTTTCGCGGCCTCCGGGAACCCAACATAGAGCTGAACAACCTCTTTTGCCTTAGTATTTCCCTGATTCGACAAAGTCACTCTGGATAGAATGGCGCTGCCATTTGAAGATACCTCCAGTCCAGATAGACTAAAGTTGGAATACGTCAGGCCGTGTCCGAACGGGAACAAAGGTTTGATGCCGCTTTGATCATAAGCCTTGTATCCCACATAGAGGCCTTCTTCATAAGGGACTTCGATGCTTGTACTGATGCGTATGGTGTCGTTGAGGCTCTTGGGAAAGGTCAATGGCAACTTCCCGCTCGGGCTCACATCGCCGAAGAGAAGACGCTCAAGCGCGAGCCCTACCTGCTGGCCAGGATACCAAATCTCCATTATGCCCTCAACTTGCTCAATCCAAGGCATCAGAATGGCAGAGTTCGTGTTCAGGACTACAACGGTTTTCTTGGAGATGCTGGCAAGCCGGCTGATGATGGCATCCTGGTCGCCAGGTAGAGAAAGTCCAAGGCCGCTATCAGCGCCTTCAGAGATCCGGTCCGAAGCGAAAATGATGCTGATATCCGCCCACTCGGCCAGCTCGTCGGCCGCTGTGTCTCGGGTCTGGTTGCCAACGTCTACGCCAAGAGTGATTCCATACGCACCAGTAGACAAGGAGTAGCCCATGTCGTATTTCAATAGAAGCTTGACCTCGGATCCCGCCTCGAGATAGGTTGCACCTTGGATGTAGTTCCCGAAATTAGCATAGGACATGTTGGCTACCAGAATGTCGTCCAAGTACAGCAGCGCGGTCCCCTGGCCATACATGGAGAAGTGGTGCATTCCTGTGGTGTTTGGAAGGAAAACCGCCTCGTAAACAGCCGAAAATACGTCTGGGTATGCTTGCCAAAGATTTGATGGGTATGTAGCAATGGTTATGTTGGGGACGATCTCGGTGGCGTTTACGGGGCCGGTGAAGTCGGTTGTCTTGTAGTATGTGACGTTGACGCCGCCATCTCTGAACATGCTCGAGGGAGCCGTGGGAAACTGCCCAGTGCCAGGGTACGCCATGGAGTACTTGGCCGTGATGTTTCCTGCGTCTCCTCGACGCTTGATCGCATCAAAGGGTGCTTGAACGACCATGGTCGAGTCAATGACGAAGCCACCGTGGTTTTCAGAGACCTGGTTCTCCGTGGTTGCTCCGATGCCAAAGACTGCAATCTTGGAATACTTGTCTCGAGAGATAGGCAGGGCGCCTTCGTCATTCTTCAGCAGAACAGTACCCTCTTCAACCATTCGCTGTGCGAGATCCAGATGCTCCTGGGTACGCACATTGGCTGTCGAGTCTCCGGTCACGGGATTGTCGACTTGCCCAAGCTTGAACATGTATCGCCAAACCCTCTGGACCATATCGTCAAGTCGTGCGTGTGGTATCGATCCATTGCTGATAGCCTCCACCAATAACTCACCGTAGTAAGCAGGGAAGCCGTAACTATCTGTCAGATCTCCGCCCGGCATTGAGATGTCGAGTCCAGCCATGACAGCAGCAACGGTACTTCTTGTAGAGAAATACCAATCAGCAACCACGAACCCTTCGAACCCCCACTCCTGACGAAGAGTCTGGTTGAGGAGCCAGTCATTTTCGCAGGTGAAGAAGCCATTGAGTCGATTGTAGGAGCACATGACACTCGCCGCATCTGCCTCTTGCACGCTGGCCTTGAAGGCAGGCAGATAAAGCTCATGCATCGTCCTCTTATCGACCACCGCATCGACTGTTACCCATTCCGGGTCATTGCCGAACCTATTCGTGTCTTGGTTATACGCAGCGAGATGCTTCGGGCACGCGAGGGCTCCCTGGCTTTGGATGCCCATCGTGCCGGCGACCGCCATTCGCGCGGTCAGCCATGGGTCTTCGGACAGAGTTTCGGCAGCGCGGGCCCATAAGGGAGAGCGAAGGATGTTGATGGTGGGCGCAAGGACGATGTTGCGGCCTTTGCCCATGTGCTCTTGCGCAAGTGCCTGGCCAAACTCATACTGTATCGACGTGTCCCAAGAGCTTGCCGCCACAACCGGAGCCGGGAAAGCGGTGACATTGTCGAGAGAGTTGCCGACTCCGGCGGGCCCATCGCCCATGCAGACACCGGGGATGCCGAGAGAAGAGTTCCCTTGGATGTGTCCGATGCATGCGTTCACGCCGGTCCCATTATCTGTCAACTATGGGAATATCAGCATTAGCTCTCTCGTTTTCGTGGGCAGCGTGGAGTTGAAAGTCTGACTTCGGTGTCGCCCTGGACCATGGCATGTTTTTGTGTATCATTGAGCTGAGCTATGAAAGACAAGAGGCGCTCCTCGTAAGTGAGTGTCTTGTCGAGCCATGGCTGAACCGCGGAGGCAGTTAATGCCAACGAGGCGATCCGGAGAGTAGAGGTCAACCGCATCTTCAGTTGTGCGCATATTTCACGAGGGAAGACAGAGTAACACGAATCTCCAACATTCACAGGCTTTTGTGCACTTTCATACTTCAGTATCCTCCCAGCTTCTCACCATTGTTCTATCTCCCCATCCTATCACGTTACATCGCGCATCATCACTTGATGATCTTCTTCAAGGTTGTTCAGCCCCAGCACCGGTCTTCCAACGGATAGACCGGGGCAGTAGTAGAAGGCCGAGGTGAGTATGCGCCCTTGCTGTTGAAAGCCGGCGAACAAACGGCGGTCTGACCGATAAGCCCAGGCCGAAGATATCCTGGAGATTGCAGTGCGGGGTACATAAGGTATCTGGATCTGGCAGTTGAGAGAACGCGGAGATGACTCTGTGGGTCTGGAGATAGACAAGCCCAGTAGAGCTTCGAGAAGCAGTCTTGGAGAAAGCGACCCTGAAAACTCGTTCCTTGTTGAGTCGGATTGATAGTGCTCGTTGGCGAACTTCTTGTCCGCGCACGTGACGGGGTTTCCGGGCGCAGATCCACATTTTCGGCTTCTACAAGCCGGCTCAGAGGCCGAAAATGCGGTATCTCCCCGAAAACCAGCAGCGAACAGGTTCCGTCTTGGACGTAGCATTCTAGAAGATCAGAAGATCCATCCACAAGCTTGAGTTCATTCTGACCTCGGCCCAGGACCAGCGTTGTAACAGCTTTTGGGGTAGATGCTTACGTTGCTGACTTGCGAGCCAAACATGGATGAAGCCCGCGAAAAGGATCGAGACGAGACCGAGACGAGACGGGAAGTTCGGCTGGGATTTGATATACCAGAAACGACACAAGGTGCTCAAGAAACCAACAACAAACAGGAAGAGGTTCCCTTTTTGGCCGTCCCGATGCGAAGGGGGCGCGGAGCTGAACAGACACGACAGGTTTGCATCTCGTAGACTGCAGTACACGACGGTGACAAGCGATGGCTGCTGGCACGAACACTTTGACGCGCCGTGCGTATGCTGCTGCAGATCCGGAATCCAGTCATCCCCTCCCTTCGCGTTTCTGGCGCGGCAGAGTCGGCCGAAGGTCGGAAGTCTTCTCAATCCACGGGCACTCTGATCGCTTCGTGTCTCCCTGGCAAATGTGGTCTGAGCCGTGCCTCGTTTCACCTGGATTCTGATACTCGTACAAAGAGCTTTCCCCCCTCGTTTTTTCGCACCAGAGGTTCATGTATTGAGTCTCCCTCTTCTCCTACAGGCTACCGGGGATGTTCTCTCGCAGAGACCCGAGACACACTGGAGTTCGGCTACAATTACGGTTCTCATTCCACTCAAACTTCTCGCCTCAGCCACCCCCACGGCCGTGGAAGCCGTCGTGTAAGTGGTTCACCGCCTACCACACCCACTGAGCTGCGGGAGAGGTAAAAATAAAATAAAAAAGACGAGTTCATGAGAGACTGCACACCATCAGCAGTAACATACACACGGAGACTGCTCCAGTTTGCGCAAAAGAATCTTGGCTTCGTTCGCCGGGCCGCGGGAGTGAATCGGGTATTTCCTGATACGACTCGTGGGACACTGCTGATTCGCGGGTCCCGGTTTGCACTTTACCAGAGTTTATTTCCGGGCGTCACCTCTTCTTAGGCTTTCCAACTAACCCAGTTTGTGTGGAAGGCCGTGTGGAAGGCCGACTTGACCGACATTGACTTACACGCTAGGCCACTGTCAGTGCCGTACATGAAGCTATGCATCGTCAAGACGCCAAAGACGGCCCGTTCTTCACGTCAATCATTCGGTCGGTCGAAAGCCATCTGACTTCAAAAGAACGTGCAATATCCCAACATCTGGTATATCTTGTGAATTGCGAAAGGCCTGGAGACAGTTTGATAGGACCCTTGGAGAGACCCTTCACGCATATGGGAGATGGCCGACCGGCCGGGGAAGAAATAAGCTCGCACCGAAGAGCGGTCTGACCTCTGCCGGCGTATCCCGCTCTCGCTAACAAATCCTGCGACGGCAGGCCTGGATGATCCCAACAAGCCCCGGTCAACTTCTCGACGAATCTTCTCCTATCAGAGGCCCGGAGAGGAATCCGCAGCGAAGCAAATCGGAAGCTCACAAGCGAGAGGTGTGTCTTCTCTAGCAGTGGTGCTGTGGGGGATCGCCAGATCCGCCAGCGCGGGAAGAGAGAGTTGAGCAGGGATCCGTCCGCACGTTTCACGTTTCACTTCGGCGAGCGACGTCGTGTCAGGCTGTGCTTGGAAGGGGGAGGCTCATGGGCTGGAGAGTGTTTAACACCCCAGCTTCGGGGACGAACCCGTTTTATATCTTTGTTTTAAAATAACTCCGCCGTCCGGTGGTGGTGCTGGTTGTTTGGCTTTGGGGGCAGTTCGAGAAGTCTTGGCTGGTGAGAATATTGAAGAGAGAGACGGAGGGAGCCCCGCGCCTCACATATCAGTCAAGTAACGCATAGATAGCCCGAGGGTTAAGGTATTGCACAGCCTCCATCACCCACAAAGTGAGGCTTGAATGCTAGCCAGGTACGGATACATCGTCAATATTACCCGAACCTGCATGTAAGGGCCAAATCTGTGGGCTTCCTGTCGAGCTTGTGTGAAATAAGCGCCGGACCTTATACAAGGATGCCATCCCCCATGTTGACGATCAACCTCAAAGGTTCATCCATCGGCAGTGGGATGCGGGTCACGCCGATTCGTGCGATGCGAGTGGCCGAACAAAGTCATCCATATCCTATCCCGCCTCGAATCTGAGTAGGCCTGCCGTGCCAGGAACTCTCCCTGATCCATGCATTGACGTCAAGTACAAAGACAGCAGTCAATGCGATTGCGGACCAGAGGCGTGCCCCGGTCGAGGAAGACGTGATGGAGGGCCAGAAGAAGCGTCGAGTCGAATCTTCCTCCTCGGGCCCCTCGCTCCCTCCTCTATCTCCCACTCCCCCCTCTATCTCCCACTCCCCCAAGCCGTATGAAGGGGGGTAAATAGGTACGAGGGTGAACCGTGGGCAACTTGTGAGACGGGTTACGCTTTTGGGAAGGCGATGAGCTGAGATTTCATATAATGTTACCGTCTGTGCGAAAGTTGTTTTGCCCCTCCCGTATGTGAGGGTCTGATCTAGTCTGTGCCAGTCTATAAGCCTCCACAGTCCTTCTTTCTTCTCCTAGTCTCTTGATCTTTCATGCTTGCTGGCCAAACACGTCGATATATCCACCGTACGCTACACACACCTGAATCTCTGGAAGATCATCACCACCAATACCAACTACTACCACGACCCCGGTATCCTCGACCGACAAGATGAAGTTCACCACCGAGATCACTCTCCTCACTCTGGCCATGGGCGTCTTCGCCGAGCCCCCCACCAAGGTCGTCGCCGAGCGTGACCTGGCCACAATCCAGGGTGTCATCCAACAAGTCGGCAACTCACTGAAGGACTTGAACAAGGCTGTGGATGGCTTCAACGGCGACCTGAGCGGCCTCGCCGGTGCCGCTGGCGCCTTCACCAACACCCTTAACCAGGGCAGCCAGCAGGTTATGGGCACGAGCGAGATTACCCTTAACGAGGCCCTCCAGCTCCAGCAGTTCGTCTCCGGACTTCAGAGCGACGGAAACGCCCTCACCAAGAACCTCGAGAAGAAGAAGCCCGAGTTCGAGAAGGCCAGCCTTTGCGGTATTATCTCCTCGCAAGTCGGTTCCGTTGGAGATGGCGCCAAGAAGCTCATCGACACCATCGTCACCAAGGTTCCTCAAAGCGTCCAGTCTGTTGCCAGCCAACTTGCCGGCGGCTTCGCCACAACACTTCAGTCAACTCAGCAGTCATTTGCTGCAGGTAACTGCACAAACGCCAACGGCATGGGCGGCGGCAGCAATGGAACCAACGCCGGCACACCCAAGACCTCCTCCCCAGCCAAGGCTGGTGCCGCTACCCTCTCCGTTGGTCTCGGCTCCATCGCCGCGGCGGCGTTTGCTGTCATGTTGCTGTAAGCGGGTCTCGTATGGAGATGGGACAGGAGTTTGGGGTTTGGACAGAAGATCAGTGGAGGGGATATATGGGAGATTTCAAAACTTTGTCTATGATGGCCTTTTTTCCTTTCAAGTGCAGGCCTGCTGGTGAAGTGCCGAGATTTGTATCATACGGGCTCAGGTAGACAATGCGAAGCCTGCTTCGTTGCACGTTGAGGGTGTATTCAAACCCACGACTTTTGATTGAGTGCGTCGTACTTGGGTTCAATTCCATACTGATTGCGCTGAGGTCCGGGACTAGGTCCAAGGGACACGTTGAAGCATGAAACAATCGCTGTAAAACTATGAGCCTTTGTCCCCATCTTGGGACTGCAGACTATCTATCCTCTATAGATCGAGACCGACGCCCACTTGAGGTCCCAATACTTTCCGTAAACTCTTGCCTCCTCATCATCTTATTCATACTACAACCCCCTGATCGTGATTGTGACCCCAATCCAACCTCTCCCGGGATTGTTCCAGTCCTCCTCGATACCCATCTTGTAAATGACCCTGTTGCTCTTGTCATGGCCACGTTGCTCTATAAAGTAGTGGATTCGCCCTCGCCCTCGTTGGACCAGTCGGTCATGGAATCAACGAGCTTCTCATAATCGGAACCGCCCATCCAAATCAAGCCCGTTTCTATTTCCTTCCAGATCATGTCCGCAAGCTGGGCATATGCTTCCCTGTTTGTGGGGGAAACCCCATACATGCATTGTTCGAGGAACTTGTCTCCACTAAATGACTCGGGAGCTGCTGCTCTGCTGGCAAGGTCGTCATTGTTGCTTGGCTCACCGTGCGAGGATTCGCCGTTGCCCGACAGTCTCACCAGCTTCTGCCCTTCGCCCGGCCTCAGACCAACTGTTTTCATTCCCTCCCACCAAGGAAGGCCCCATGCGGCATCGAAGTAGATATCGCACAACTGTATGCCGGCTTCTTGTGCTCTGGCAAGCCGCAGCGCCGCCTGTCTTTGATAGTCCTGAAAGTCTTTGCTGGGGAACCGTTCGCTCCACGGCTTTTCTCTGGGGACAGAGTGGCGTCCCGCTGGAGGCAGGTGCGGTGCACTGTTCTGAGGGGACGGGTCCCTTGTGTTGGCGTCGGTCATGATGAGGTCGCCGAAGACGTGAGGATGGGTTCTCTGAGTCATGACTTCGTCAGTAAATCGAGCACGTCTGAGGAATTCGGTACCCACATGTAATCCGAACCGACCGTCGATCAGATTCGGCGAGAGAACACTTTGGTGCGGACTAAAGTGGCGGGTAACGGGCCCGTTAGCTGGAGGCAACTACGTAGAGTTTGGAGGAGTCGGTCCTCTGAGTAGCGGAGAGGAGTGAGGAAAGTCAGGAGATATCTTCTCTCTTCTCACCATCACGAGGTATTGAGGAAGGAAAAGTTTGGGATGCAATATACCTCTAGCACGAGTTGATTTGTGTCCGAGTCTGGAAGAGACCTGTTGGCGTTTTTTTCTGGTGGGGAGGAAGCTCGAGAATCGATCAGGCAAGATTGTTGTGAGAAGGAAGAAGAGAAAGAAAGAAAAGAGTCGGTTATCAAAGAGATTTATATACCCATTGAGTTGACAAGGTGTTGGTTGAATCTGCATTGGGTAGGAGCTAGCGACTCGCCTTTAATCAAAGGAAGGAACTCGGCTACAGCTCACTTTAACCTCTCGAGCTGGAAAAGAAGAAGGACTACTCGACGAACAACTCTTACTTCACTCGGGCTCGAGAGAATGACCCTTTCACTAACAAAGCTTTGAGTCTGTATTGGGCACGGGCTGAGGACTTATCTATCTTCCTTAAGGAAGAAACTCCGCCACAGCTCACCTCAACCTCTAGAGGACCAAGTTGAGATATGAAGTCTTCTTCTTGTTGAAAGTCGATAATCATGTGCTTAGGCCAGGAGAGACTGTTAGCTGTCCTAATCGGGGGAAAAGAATATGCTCATGGTTCCAGTCGTATACCGGTCCTATCACGAGACTCAACCGACAGGTCGTTACCGCTGCCAGCAGGTAACACCGGCTAGGGGGCCGATTTCCATCACTTGTTCTTCTCCAACCTCTTCACTCTCCATGTATTCATTGAGGAATATATTCTTGAGTAATGACCGTTGACACGATGGGGAGATACGGAATGCCTTGAAAATGGAAGACAGCCCGACATAACTCCATCGGATCAATTTCAAGAGTATCGCAATCCTTCATGGAGAAAGGACGGCTGGAAAACCACAACCCGCCGATACCTCCTAATCCATGAGAAGTGGGCACCGCGAACTAGCCTCCGGTCTGCAGTACTGGGCCCAGTATCGGGGACAGATCGGAGATCCATGGATTCTTAAATAGTAGAACCTACGGGTACGGTCTCGTCGGCGAAGCTCGGGTTAGGTGTACACTAAAGCCGGCGTTCTCTGACCCCACCTAGATAGACAGACTTCGAAAGCGTTGATTTCGTACCTTTTGCCTTTCGAGGTGACGAATAGTTACCCGACTTTCGACTTTCGACTTTCTAACGCAGACGCTGCACTAGATGATGAATTTGGCTCCGGAGTTACAGCGAAGCGACAGTCCTAGACCGAAGCCCGGAATCATCTCTAGACGCGGTCCGGAAGACGGATGTCGAAGAAGGCATACCATGCAAAACAATGCCATTAGCCACGGCAGCCGAGCCCGGCGTCTCTTCTTCCTCCCTCGCCCGCAATCTCTTCCTTGCCCAAGGCAGCAAATTAAAGTACCCCCCACACGCAAACACCCCGCACCAAAGCACAAACTCAGTCGCGTAAATAACAATCCCCAACACATCAACCCGAGGCTGAAAGAATATAGACGCGAGGGAAAACACGTCGCCCGCGGCGTCGATGCCGACAAAGATGAAGGATATGCCGCGCACGGTGCGGTGGAGGTAGATATCCCAGTAGTGCCGGAGTACCCCGGCGGCCAGCAGGGCGGCGGAGAGGGAAGCCATGAGGATCATGGGCCATTCTGTGCCGCGGTGTTTTACAATGTGAAGTCCGATGACGAGGGCGACTTGGATGCCGGCCATGGCGGTTGCGATGGGGGCTACGACGGCGAGGGAGCGGAGGATGGACCAATTCTGGAGACGGAATCAGCAAGATAAGTTGGGGCGAGAAATGGTATGGGGGAGTGTACTCTTTGATAGTAGAAGCATTGGATCCAAGTTGCGAGACTCAGAAACGTGAGAATCTGGGGCTGAATCTGCAGGGCAATGTTGAAGTCCTCGACGATGTTGTAGACGCCTAGGGGTACGCCGGCCCAGGCCCAGAGCATCATCATTGAGGGCTGAAGACCGGTGGCATTATGGCGTCGGTAGTTGATGACAATTTGCGGGATGAGCTACACCACACTGTCAGGAAGAGAATTTGGGTTATGAACTCTAACGGAATGCACCTGAGTAGACCAGCAGACCTGTGAACTGTTAGCTTTACCTCATCATTGGCGGACGGGGTGAAGTGCGTACTGCACCAAGTGTGCCGAGAGCGTTGGCTGCGGCCGGTATGTCCATGACGACTCAAAAGCAGGGTCTCCTTCCAAAGGTGTTGCCAATGACGGTAGCAATTTCAATTGAAGAAGGTATCTCAGTTGTGGCAGAATGAGCTCATCGTCAGCGCAATAGACGTGATTGTCACTTGAGAGATATAGGTATTAATTAGAACATCTATCCGCGATCGACATTGTAGAAACTGGTGTAGAATTTCGTAAGCATTTTGCGGGACCCTAGTTGGATCTGCAAATCGCAACGGCTGTTATCACCAAGCGGGGCTTTAGCTCCGATCCTCCCCTTGGTGTAGTTGGTTCATCACGTTCGACTGTAATGGTTACATTGTCATCGAAAGGTCTCTAGTTCGATTCTGGAAGGGGAGAACAAATTCTATTTTTGCTTTTTAGTACCAGGACAAACCATGCAACCTGCCATTCTGCCCACCGATATCGCGAGAATCGAACGTAACTTTCTTTCGAAACCTACTCCGTAGATACCGCATTCCATCACAACATTACCTTGGGTAGGGTGCCGTGGTATTGGCGCACACCAGGGAAGGCAGTCGGGCAGAAGGGTTTTGTGGGTTGTTCTCGATTGCACTGCTGGCTCGCATTACAAGTCCACTTTGCCATTCCTCTTTTCTGGCATCGATCGAAGTCGTCACTCTTGTTCAGTTGCAGTCGATCACGACGGAATCCAAGAAAATAATTCTTTGATTCAAACCCAACAATCATTGACCATTCTCATACAGTACTCCATCATGAATAATCCTACACTCCATTTTCGTACAAATTAAATCAACAGTTTTCCATTCTTACTCGTCCCATTCGATCCTCATGGTCGTCGGCACAGGCCAGTACGAGCTCTGGTCGGCCGTCATGAAGGTGCGCAGGCCCAGCCAGGGCTCATCCTTCTTGCTGGCGCCGTTCTGATTGCTGCCAACAGGAAGACCGACTTGGCCATTCCAAGCGCCAGCAGGCATGTTCTTGAGCTTGCCACGACCTCCGTTTCCGCCAGACGTCTTGTCGGCTCTCCTCAGTCCCTTGAGTCCGACAATCTCCTTGAACAGACTCGTCTGCGCCACGCGGCTGATCTCCTTACCGGCACACCAATGGGGACCGAGACCATAGTGGACGTAGGACTCGAGAGGGCGGTCGAGGCGCACTTCGTTGGGGGCCTCAAAGATGGTTGGGTCGCGACCGGCCGTCATCAGGTTGCACAGGACCTTTGTACCCTTGGGGATCTTGACCTCGTACTTGGTGCCGTCAATGTCGTCGTTGACCTTGGGTGTGCGCGAGGTCGGGTCATTGGGATCAAGGAGGCAAGGAGCGTAATCGGTGATGACCTGGGTGGTGACGGCCTCACGGTAGACGGCGACGGTACCACGGAGTCTGCATCCCTCAAGCATGCTGGGATAGGGTTAGAGGAGTGTCCAAAAGAGGGAAGCTTTTCGAGTAAGACTTACTACTTCATCAACTTCTCATCCGCCTCGGGCGTGTTCTCATGAGCCAGCTTGTAAAGCGTCTTCAGGTGGTCGTGGCCCTCGCCAAGGTAGTAGTCGATGCAAAGCGCCATGACCTGCGACTGGTTCGTAACGTTGGCGGTGACGACGGGCATGATAGTACCCCAGACAACCTCATCAATGTCCTTACCGTCAGCGAGAAGGCGCTCAATGAGATGGTTACCAAAGGTGGGAAGCGAGGCTTCTCCCTCTCTGATCTTGGCGACAATGTCCGTGATCAAGCCCGCCTTGGAGATGGTCTGGCAGACAAGGCCCATAAGCTTGCCCAAGCCTTGGCCGAGCTCGCGCGCAATCGTCCGCAGCTTGAAGCTATTGCCAATGTCTGCATCCAAGAAAACAGACTGGAAAAGAGTGGCAACAACCACGTACAGTTCCTGGTCAGTGTAGACACCCCATGGCGAGTCCTCGTTCTTGATGGGCAGGTGGAAGAGGGCGGCATTGAATCGCGTGTTTGTCAGGTTGATGACGTCCCGAACAATGTCAACCTCTCTGACGCCCTTCCTGATGGGAAAGCTGTTCTGCTTCAGCAAACGAGGCGTCATGTGGGTGTACCACTTGAAAACTTCCTTCTCCCAAGGGCCCGTGATCAAAGCCTTCCTAACCTGAGTGCGGTTCTGCGTGTTGGCCTTGCCATCACCAGCCAGGCAAAAGTCCTTGCCGTAGTCCTTGCCAGGCTGCGCGACCAGGTGACGGATGGCTTCGCCCCAGACAACCTTGAAGTCTGACTGGTTGTACAGAATCTCGCTGACAGCCTTGTGGGAGAAGATGGGAATCATGTTGCGCTTAGTGACCGGTTCCTTCCAGGAGTAGAGATAGTCTCTGTTGATGCCCTCGAGGATCTTCTTGTTCTCAGAGGGCACCGTGAGGGGGAAGTGGGCGTAAACGCTGTTCTGCTCAAACGAGTTGGGGAAAGCGCGGTACACCAGCTTGTACAGGACATGGCTCTGGTCGACGTTAAGGTCGTAGCTGCATTGGTTGAATCTGTTCAAGAGTCAGCGGCTGCTGTCTTTATCTGCATGGTAGAATTGGAGAAAAACTTACCCCCAGTTGGTCAGGTTCTTTGGCGTGTAGTCAACGGTGTAGAATCGGTCGCCACGAACCAGGGCAACGGCATCAGACAAGATAGCTCTGGTCATGGTGAAGCCGCCACACAATCCACTTCCCGGGGCCATGGGCTCCTTGGCCTTCTCAGCGACCAATCCAGGGTACAACTCAACCTGGTCTGGAGTGCCATAGAGGTATCTCAGCTTCTTGACGACTTCCTTGTCCGGGTTGATGTCCTCAAATGTCGGATGTCTGGTGAGGCCAAAGTGATCACGGAATTCGTTAAGGGTGGCGACATTCCACTTTCGTGCGTTCATCATACCGAGCACCTCAATCGGCTTCATGATCTCCGGGATTCTGTTGGCCCCGTAAGAGCCAGCAACATCTTCGACGGACTCCTTGAAGATCTTGACCAAATCCTCTTCGCGGAAGGCACCATCCTTGCCACGCTTCAGGCCGGCGAAGTCACGCTTGACCGGGTCATCACTGATGCGCTTCTCCCAGTCCCTCACAGCGTGGCCGAACTCAACGAGAGTAAAGTCCTTGACTTCCTTGGGGGGGTTGCTGGTATCTCCCTCGATCTTGAGTTGCTCGCGGAACGCCTTTTCGGTCCACTTGGCGTCCTTGGGAGAGATGGTGCAATGCCATCTGTAGATGAGGTTAAACTCCACTGAGACCTGGTTTCCGGTACCCTCGGGGGTCTCGGCTCTGAGGATGCTCTTGCCCTCGTTGGTGCGGGGATCCAGAGCCCAGCTGGAAGGTGAGCGGTTCATGTTCAAGATGGTACGGACGTAGTCGCGGAGGACGATGCTGACGTAGAGACCGCAAGTGATGAGACGCGCCGTTTGGAAAAGGTCATTGTCGAACTTGACCCAAGCATTCCAACGGTTCCACTGCTTGTACTCAGGGGTTTCCAAGTAGTCCTTGTACTCTTGGGATTCGAGATACTTCGGGTACTCTGGCTCCCCTTCCTTGACCCTCTGTTCCGGCTTCTTCGGAGCCTCAGCCTTGGGGTCGATGGCATCGCCAGGGGGTCTGTTGAAGCGGTTGTTCTCATTGATACTATATATCATTAGTATTAGCTTTTGAAGAGATCACAGGTTGAAAGTTCTTACCTTGCAAGCTGTGTGACAATGTAGTTGTGGAAGCGGTTGAACATCATGAGAAGGACACCGACACCGGGAGGGAAGCCAAGAACTCTCTTGGAGGAGAACGAGTCAGGCTTCAGTCTGCCGTCCAGCTTTGTTCTGACTTGATCTTGCTCCGATTGGTTGCGGCCATAGAGGGGAGAAAGATCGAGGTAGGATGATGTCTTGTTGATGCCACTGAGGCCGTCCTATCATTCAGTCAGTTAGCAAAGCGATTTTGAGTTCAACTGACAAGTTGGGGGAATAGTGTCTCACAGTTTGGAAGATATCATGAGTGATGATGGTAGCCAGGTAAAAGAGGAAGCTTGAGATCTTGTTGGGATGAGGCTTGAACTCCTCGCCTCTGGCAAAGAGCATGTCAAAGAGTAGGCTGGGATCAGGCTGATTGGGAGTCTGATAGGTTATTGGCGGAGCGGACCGAGCATATGCTGTGTTAGCTGCGCCCATCAATGGGCTGTGAATGTTGTTGTCAGAGCCGTCTGCTGCACGATACTTGAACTTCTCATTCAGGGTCGTCATGGGCGGGTGGTCGATGCCATTCCAAAGTTGGTTAATCAAGCCATACTCGAGCTTCTTGCCCTTGACGGTGCCGCGAGGCAGCTTGGCGAAAAGCTGGATGAGGTTCTCCAAGAGCAACTTGTTGTCGTCGATCTTGCCTTGCACAGCAGTGATGCCGAACTCGGCCAAGGTTTCAAAGTCATGAAATCCGAGCTTCTTGATATCTTGCAAAAGGTTTGTGGGGTCAGCCTCCTGCGCAGTGGCACCTGGAGTTGGCTCAGGGTGCGGCGGGACTGCGGAAATGGACTTGTGAACGAAATCGCGGACTGCCGTCAACTTCTCCGACACCTCGGTGAGGAGGGGCTGGTGCTTGGGGAATTGCTCCTGAGCTTGAGACATGCTGGCGGATGGTCCAGTCGACTGCAAGTTGAAGGAGAGAGAATGGGTGGCTTGAAGGCAAAAGGAAGGTATTGATCACACGGGTATGCTCAGTGTTGGGGCGGACGGGGTCCTTCCTATATACGAGCAAAGTCTTCTTGCCCCATGGAATTGACAGCGGACAACAATGTCCGAGGCGAGCAGATATGGAATTACAGATAACCCCCTCCATGACGAGGCGCAGAGGAATCGGGTGAGCCAGCAGACACTGTGCTACATGGTGTTGAGGATCAGGCTGGATACTTTCTGTCGTTTAGTCCCCCCTCGTTGGCGCTGAGGTCAGCTCTCGAAGCTCCACAAGGCCGTCATGGGTTGTGCTAGGCAATAGCGCAAGACGATGAAGCAAATGTATTTCTAGGCTTCCCGCTACTAGTCTGGTCGTCTTGTAGGGCTTCGCTCCCGAGGTACTCTTGAGGTACGCCAATCATTGACCAGGCTTGACCTGATGAACAAGTGGACGGTGATGAAGAAATGCGTCTGTTGACTAAACGTGGGAGACGATTGGCCGGGATGCGAAGCGAGGGACCAACGCTCCCCCCTGCTGTCGTGCGGCGCCGAACCAATAATGGTTGATATCGCAGGCCGACTTCTGCATCGTCGGGGCTGCCAGGGCGCAGCTGAATGTCCCCTGCGTGCCTGCCTACGACTACGGATATGGGCGAAGGGAAAACAGAAGCAGTAAAGAGTTGCAGAGCTTCCCCCCCCCCTTCCGCCAAGCTAGGAGAGAACGAAAACAGCGAGCACTGCGCAAGACATTAGGCTACTTGACAAGTAGCTGAAGTCAATGAGTTCCTGATGAGGCCAGCGAGATGCGCCGGTGGCCAATCTTGAGTAGATGATTCGTATGCCCGGCCGCCTTCTTCTTGGTGTCATGCCAGTTGGAGCGATGACTCTGTCTCAGCCGGGATTTCGGTGAATGTGTGGGCGCCGGCGCGCCGGTGGGGGAGATGAGATCGTATTTGCGCGATACCTACGGATACCACAAGTATGAGTCGATCTTTTGCTAGGCTTGGTCAACATGTGATAATGTCGTAGACTAGCTGGGACCAATCAAGCCTGTAACTTGTTGTCCTCATTCTCGGACGTCTTTGCCGTAATGCGTATGTTCCACGGGAGCTGCCTTGTTGACCCTGTTCAAGCCCACGCCATTCCCGGCCGTTTAGGGGCTGTTAGTGTGATGTGGATTGGCAGTCCCCGATTTTTGACAGAGTTGCAGGGACTTGATAATGCCTGGAACGGTTTGGCTCGGATCAGTTGGACTTGACCACGGCCGGGGGCCGTTGTTGGTGAGAGCATGGTGAGCGGCCGCAAGTGTGCTTACGCTGCTGTGTTCCGGAAACAGCCAGGCTACCTGATTTACTGACGAACTTGCTTGCACTGTAGCACTGCGTTTGCCCGGTGTGATGCGATAGCGCGATTCTGCACCAACATGCTTCGATAGCCGGCGAGAGGCAGTTGAGGTCGTCGAGGTCGGCTAGGCCCGCTTGTGATGTCAGCTGCTTGGCGATGGGTGTCTGTCAGCACTCTGTGCAAGCCATTCGAACCAAACAAGAAGAAGGGTCGCACCATTTCTTTTCCCGTTCTGCGTGGGGGCCTTTGGGGCCGATGCGCAGTGATCCTTCAGCCGCCCGCCTCCATCTCACCGGACGATACGGACTACATATCCATTGCCTGTGCCGCTGGGCGGTGCAACAGTGTTCGCATTGGCGAGTAACTGATTGCTCCCAAAGATCAAGGATAACCTGTCATGGGCGTCGTCACCGAAAAAGTGCACAAGATGATGATCTGGTGCTCGCAATGTCAGCTACCATGCCTCATTTCACAAGACTCGGACCGTACCGCCACCGATCAATTCCATGAGACCATAAAATGCCGACTTTTTTTTGATGAGACGGCTCCCCGCCGAGAGGGCCGGTCTCACTCCCTTGGATTGCGGGGTCTAAGACACGGGATTTCGCAGCCGTCGACAGGTCCTATCCGTGGCGTGGATGGGAAATGTAAGGAATCCGGGGTAATTGGTGAGAGGCTCCGGCTTGTCGATGGAATTGGAACTCGAATCTTCGGGGCATCATCTGCCGGTTTGCCAAACAAGAACAACAAAGTGGTAGTTCGGGCGAGGTAGAAACAGATCGAAATGTAGGCAAATTCTGATTGGCATAATAATTTCAATGAGCCGACTCAAACTGTAATGAGTGGCGAACCTCTTTCGTGCCATTCGAGCGCCAATTGCTGACTGGTGTAAGTCGGCTACCTAAGGAATGTCATGTTGCGCTGGGCCAGTACGCCATCGATTGTCTCCCAACAGCAATCCTAGAGTTCTGAAGACCATCGACGAAGTACACGGGATACCCATAGGGCTGAGATGGTGCCTGTTGAATCTGTCTTGATACTGGGAGCCAGAGGTCCATGGAGTTCGGGGGAGCCGGTGCGGGATGATACCGTTGGACACTGCGGTCAGCTTACATACCATATCCGTACAGCACATGCGTGTGCACTAGTTTCCGTCAATTGGCCGCTTACTCGGAGGCCTGTGGCATGACGTGAAGCTGGGAGTTCAGGGTATTGGCGCGATGCGAGGGATCGTATGATGCTCGCACAGGCCGATTGACAGTTGACAGGCGAAGGGCATAGAAGAAGTGCAGTGCGGCACATGGCGCACAGGGAGACTGGTCTCTAGGATGCCTTTTCCGGGCCTAATATTGACCACTTAGCCGCCACCAATTGATCTTTTACGCTGGAGGCTGAAGAGACTAGTTTCTGTCAAACGTTCAGTGGCGTAGCGAGGAGGCCTGACAGCCACGACGGCCTAAGGTACAGTAATAATAGAGCCTGAGGCCGTTTCAGGCGTCGAGGAAGTGTGGAAGAGTCTGGTAGCGATTTGAACTGCTGGCCAGTGTTGAGTGACGAGCGACGAGCGACGAGCAACAGTTGTGTGCGAACAAGTGCCATGTGGAGGGCAGCTGGTTACGGCTCAGTAATTGTCAGCGCCGCGAGACCGAAATAATCTTTCTGAAGAACAAAGTTGAGACGACGTTCTCTCAGTTGGACCCATGCGCCATGACGGACTCTGCAGGAGTGAGGTCGTCCCATGGTTTGTAGTGCTTCAGGGTCCAAGAGTGGAAGATGATGGCGTGGGCAGGCCATCTCGAACAGAGGGTGTCTGAACTGGCTACGGCTGAAGCAACCCGATTCAAGAGTCAATGCAGCGTAGGTCCGCCTAAGTCCGGGTCTTATTGGGGTGGTGGTCTTGGTGTATCCGTACCGTACGAAGGTTCAATGTGTTGTGTCTGGGTCGCCAAGGGCAGTTCTCGGGTATGAGGCATGGAAAGGGAATTGGGACCTGGTCTGGAGGAATGCGATGAGACGCGTCGGTATCGTTGGCGCAAAGTCGATGCGTATGATGAGCAATGCGACTGTTGCAGAGCGGTATTCGTGTGGATATTGGATAGGAGTGGACAGGTCAAACTGTTTAGTTTTATCATGAAGAAGTGCAAATATGGCGACGGGGGAGATGTCGTTGAGCATGAAGACCATTCACTGCGAATAATTGGGTGGTGAACTCAATTGCTTCTTTCCCTGTCCGTGGACACCCAGGTAGAATCCGTGCCTGCCTGAGGAGTGTGGCGATGGGTACTTTGTACCTTCCATTGTCTCAGCGGATCACCTCAATTCATTTGGGAAGGAGGATCACCCGCAAATATCCGTATGTACGAATACGTACCCCAAGGGCCAGCCTGCCTTCCTACCAGTCATGTTGATGTTCTCTCAATGTCTCAGCCTCAACACGCCACGCTCTCTCAATGTCAATACCTCTACTCGACTTCACTAGAATGTAAGCTCTCTGGAAAAAATAGCTCCGGGCAATAACTGTGATTTAATCATCTGCGAATCATTCAGGTGGATAATTGTGATGGAGAAATCAAAGACTGGAGAATGAGATTGACTTTGAGGGTGGCATCGGCTAAGGACATTTTGAGTTTAGATTCAGGGTCCCCAGAAATGAGGACCGCTATGGTTCTGAGGACGTGGACTCGGGAAGCAGGAGCCACCAGTGGGTTCCTTCCTGAGTGGGCACTGGAAGCTGTCCAGAACTCAAATCAGAAGGGGCAACGCCGGGCGTGACAGACCAGGAAGGAGCACTCCAGCCGGGTGGAGATGTCTGGGGAAAGCACCACACAGCAGCTGTTTCCCTTTTCATTATAGAGTTCTTCCTCTGCTTCAGAATAATTGCACCACAGGAGGCGAATAGAACAGAAGCAGAGAGACACGACGACGGCAGGCCGCAGATGCAAGGGAATAATATGTCAATTGATAAGGAATACCTAATTCAGGACGGCCAAATTGAGTCCTTCCCTTCCATTTTGTCTGTGCCTTCCGTCACTGTGCCTTGATCATCCCCTCTTTCTGTTTCTGTTCTCAACGCCTTGCAGTGGGATGATCTGAGCGAGTCGTAGCTTCCCCATCCCATCTCATCTCATTGTCTCGTACCTACCCGAAGGCGAGGCAAGCACCTCGGGATCGAATACGCGCAGCTCTTGCCGTTGTATTCGTAAAACCATCGGCGTATTCGTGCTTTCCATTCTTCTCGCCATTGCAAACGATGCAAGTCAGGCTGCAAACACGAGCTGTGCCGCATCGTATCGTTGCGCAAGTCCACCTGCGCTGATTTCCCCAAGTCAGAGGCCGTCTGTCCCTCAAAGACAATATCGCTTCCGAATTCCCACCTCAAATCGAGAAGAAAAGGGGGGAAACCTCGCCCATTTATCCATCCACTCGCCGCCATCCCCGAGTCCCTCTCTCCCTTCCCCAACCCTCACTTTTCGGGCCTAGCACAACAGGCCGGTCAGTAAGCCGCCATTCCCACTCAAGCTCAAGCAGCCGACCTGCAAGAAGGATTCCGATCCTGCACCCACGATTATCCGTACGACACCTCCAAACCAGCGGGCCATTCCCCCCTTGCGGTTTAGGTACCCCCCTGTCCCTGGAGAGATTAGCGCCATCTGTCAAGGAGCAACGCGACGCCAAGCTTGCCAAGCTCCCGCCGTCTTTGCCTTCTGGCGCTCTTTTTGCCGCCAAACCCAATCTCGAGTCGAGTTCCATCCTGCTGTGTAGGCGGCACCACTAGCTTTCCTTCCTCTCAACCTTTTCTTTACACCTTTTTATATCTCCAACATTCTTCGCTTCCATCTGTGCCCCGTCGCCGAACTGTCGGTTGTTCCCGGCTCGTCTTCAGTCGTACGTCGCTGACCTTGTGGTCCGTCTACCCGGGTTGTCTCGAAACTCTGCCGAGCCACGTCGACTGTAACATCCGAAGCCTCACACAATCCGCCGCCCATCGAGTCCACGTTGAACAGCCAGTCCGGCCACGCGCAATACCTTTACCTTAGACCAGGGTGCCAACGACTACACATTCCGCACATCATCGTTCCTTCGGCCGACGACAATCTTCGAGAACTCCTCCTCCTCTTCAAGGGCATGCCGGCGCCATCGCCATCGACATGATCCCCCTCGTCGTTCGTTCCCTCCGGGGGGCTGTCGCCCGCATCTCCCCGAGCGCATACTCCTACTCCCCTCTGGGCACCGTCAACTCCAATTCTGAACCCTCATCACCTGGTGGCTCGAACCCCCCCGCCCAATCCAGGTCTCTCCTCGCGAGATTGACGGCAATCCTCTTTTTCCTGCTGCCCTCCTTCGTCCAGCGCCGACTCCGACCCAACGACTTCAAGCACCGGCGCTTATACCCTACCTCGTGGCTCGACGGTCTGCGCGGTGTCGCATCCCTGATTGTATTCTTCTGCCACTTCACCGAGAAACACGTGGGCTGGTTTACCGCGAGGGCATACGGCATTCCTGATGAGAACGACCATGTCGCTTCCTCTCCGCTGCAGTTGCCCTTCCTCCGCGTCATCTTCAGCGGCCGGCCCATGGTCCACATTTTCTTCATCATCTCGGGCTTCGTTTTGTCTCTCAAGTCACTGAAGCAGGCAAGGAAACATGACTACGATGGACTGCATCGCACTCTATCAAGCAGCGTCTTCCGCCGTGGCTTCCGCTTGTTTCTGCCCACCACTGCGTCTACCTTTATGATACTCATCATGATACGTTTGGGAATGATGGGACAACCCTTGCCTACACTCTGGGAGCAGCTGGTGGACTGGAAGAACGCTGTGTGGAGAATCACCTTCAGCTGGCAGTGGGATATTACCCAAATTCTGCCCTATGATGTCCATCTTTGGACCATCCCCATCGAATTCTCTCATTCGCTACTCCTTTTCGTCGTTCTCACCGGCGTGAGCCGCATGAAGACGTACTTGCGCCTCGCTTCCGTTTTCTCCATCATGATCTACTGCCTCAAGTGTGGCCACTGGGCCGGCTTCGAGTTCCTGGGTGGCATGTTCCTTGCCGAGGTCGGTTTGATCGAGGAAGCTCGTCAGGAGCGCAAGGCGGCCGCTTTGCAGAACAAGGAGGCATCCGACATGGAATCTTCCACTGCGTCATCGGACTCGTCTTCAAGCTCCCTGGCAGTACGCGTCTTCAAGACCTTCCTCGTCGGCAACTTGATCTTTGCCCTGTTTGTGGCCGGCTGGCCGAACCAAAAGGCCGATATCACCCCGGGAATGTCGCCGCTCTGGCATAACACCATGGAGCCTTTCTTCACCATGGGCGGCGACCTCGTCTCCTTCCCCTGGTACGCCCTTGGCGCGTTCCAGATTGTCGTCACGTTGCAACACATCAAAGTGTTGCAGAACCTGTTCATGACGCCACTAGCGCAGTACCTCGCAGACATCAGCTACGCGCTCTACCTTGTCCACGGACCCGTTCTCGACGTCTTTTCGCATCGCTGGATGCCGTACGTCTGGGCGCTTGTCGGCGGTAGGGACGAGACTGGCATGATTGGTCGACTCGTGGCGTGGTTCATAGGAATTGTCTTGTTTGGTGTGCCGACTGTCTGGGGCAGCGATGTCTTTTGGAGAACCGTCGATATCAACAGCGTAGAGCTGGCGCGCTGGATCGAGAGTCTCTGCACGCGAGACGAGTCGTCAAAGTAACGAGCCACGCGGGGGGCAGCATCGGATGTGACGGTGTAGGTGGCATATCGGTGTAGGTGGCATATCGGCGTTGGTGGCATATCGGCGTTGGTGGCATATCGGCGTTGGTGGCGTTGAATATTGTGATAAATGTCTTGTTGGTTTCGGGTACACCTAGAATCATGATGACGTTCGAGTAAATACTATCGTACAGCTCTCAGTCATTGAGTCTCGGATATGGTTCTCTGTGAAGCAAGCGGAGGAGGCGGGGAGAGAGGACGTCTTGAGCCTCGACCGGTGTGAGCCTCCTGACGTTGCGTGTTTCGATTGACATGTCGCACAAATCTAACGTAAGGTGGCCCAGCCACAAGGTACGAGGAAACGTGAGACGGAACATGCGCCTGGCTACACAAGAAAAGGAGGGGGAAGCTAGTCTTTTAAACGAAGCACCTTTGAAGGACAAAAAACAGCTCAGCCATATATACCTTAAGGTAAGGTGAATGTGGATATCCGGAAAGGTTGGCCGCGTGGGATGAGGATAGTGGGCAACGATCCGCCGGTCCCGGGACGGAGGCTTCATTGGGCCCGGGGAACCACTAGGCCATCCCACCCGCACCCCTGTACCCTTGCCAAGACCCAGAAAATATGTTGCAATGGCGTCGATAAGAAGCAGGTTGATTGGAATGGTCAATGGTGGACGGATGGGTCGGCCTGGCTGCGACAATTTAAATCAGGGCGAGGCACGATTTATGGCTTTTGGTTGGTGAAAAAGGGGGGGGAGGGCGGGATATACGGAGTAGAGGCACTAGTGAGAAGATGGATCGGATAGGGGCTCTACTGGAGGATGGCAATGCGGCGTCACTATAGAAGAAGCCGGTGCTCCCGTGTCGAGATGCCATTAAGCTTCTCTCACCAATATGTAGGGCGGATAGGAACGCCCGGATGTGAAGCAGGGCTGTGCAACTGGAAGCTCATTCGTATGGTTTTCTTTTGTTGGCTGCCTTGGGGACCAAGCCACTCACGCCAATGAATACTTGTTACGGTATCACTGCGAGGTATCTGTCCCTGGCGAGAGTGTCATCGGTGGCTGAGATCCGGTAAGCGCCTCCGGGGGAACTGACGGTGCTGCGACGGGGTCCGTGGGTTTCCGGAGTGGGGAACCATCGGGGCGGTCCGTTGTGTTTCAATTGTTTTCACGGTGCCTGCGCCGGTGTGCCAAGGAATATCTGCCGTGTGGGCGGGAGGGAGGTTCAGGTTGTCCCAAGTGCGTTCCATGGCGTTGATCTCTGTACGGAGTGCCTAGATTGGGTCGCGGGAGGCGGACACACGGATAAGTTTAGGGCACCGACTTCTCCCAATTCGCCATAGACCCGGATGTTGGAGGGTTCTCTAACTCCAAACTCCGTGTTAGGCGCCCAGTTGCTCGCCTCACTTTCAATACAACAATGTCCGACAACAAGACCCAAATCTATCGGCGATAGGTGATTTGGCAGCTCAAATATAAGACGAAAGGGCATGACAAAGAGCTTTTCCACCTAACGCCGACGAGAAATGGGCCGCAACTCCCAAGCCTAGCAGTAATCACCGAATGGATTACACGGATTCAGACAATGCTGTACCACCGGGCTACATTAGCCAACCAAATATCCATTGAGTTTCCCCTGGAAATCCTTTGGATCGTTCCTTTGTGAGTTGTAGCCAAACACCAAGGATGACAAGCTGCAGACGACAGCTCCATGATGCCATGTTTCTTCGAGATGAGTTCTTGACTTTCGACTCCCACTGGTTTCGTGCACTTGGGATCTGGAGTTAAGCCTTCTTACTTGCGGCTGCAGATGATGGTGTTATACTCTACTACTTGCGGGAGTAAGACGGAAAATGTAGATAATCCTCAAGATTATTCCCATGAAGATTCTATAAAGATGGACAGCCCTCCAGTCTGCGGACAGTAATATCATCCATCTCCAACGAAACATCCACTGAACTCTGGACATTCACGCATTTGCATAATCCTTTTTGTAATTCTCTGCAATAAAGACAAACAAGCAGCCATGACACCCACACTAGGCCGCGAAACAACCGGCACCGGACTCGTCACCGCGTACGCCCCCCACATCGCCGGGAAAACAATCCTCGTAACCGGCGTCTCCCCCGGCGGTCTCGGCGCGGCTTTCGCCCAAGCAGTCGCCGCCGCCTCTCCGGCCCTCCTCATCCTCGCGGGGCGCAACACCACCAAAGTCCAACAGACCGCCGACGCCATTACGTCATCATACCCGGCCATTGCTGTAAAGACGCTTCAGCTGGACCTGGGCTCGTTCAAGAACGTACGAGCGGCTGCGGAGACTGTGAATGGGTGGGAGAATGTACCGCATATCGATGTGTTGGTGAACAATGCGGGCATCATGGCTGTGGACTGGAGCAAGACGGAAGATGGATTTGAGAGCCAGTTTGGAACGAATCATCTGGGTCCGTTCCTGTTCACAAACTTGATCATCAAAAAGATTCTTGCTGCACGGGAGCCGAGGATCGTGACGGTCAGCAGCGACGGGCACCGATTGAGCCGTATTCGTTGGACGGATTACAACTTCAACGTGAGTACTGACGCTCTTTGCATCGAGCCTTGGCTTCGGATACTGACTGGAGAGTTGCTTCATAGGACGGCAAGCACTACAACAATTGGATCGCGTACGCGCAATCCAAGACGGCCAACTGCCTGATGGCTCTCTCCCTTGCGGAGAAGCTGGGCAACAAGGGTCTCCTGAGCGTCAGTCTGCACCCGGGTGTCATCTTTACCAATCTGGGTAACCACCTGGAAAGCTTTGATTCACTGCGTACGTGAAGCACTCGTGAGGACTCTGTGGTGAAAAGACAGGTCGCTAATCGCGGTGCGAAAACAGGAGAGGTAGAAATCACCATGGGCACCAAGAACATGTGGACAGAATTTCACCCAAAGACGGAAGATCAGGGCATCGCCACCCATGTGTACGCTGCATTCAGTCCTGATATCAAGAGTGAGTCACTCGGCAGTGCTTCAGAGTCGTGGATCGTGAACCGGAAAGCTAATACTACGCAGGTCATAACGGACAGTACTTCAATGAATGCCGCATCGCCGACCAGTACGATGAGGAGATATACCCCTGGGCGAACAACGAGATTGAGGCGGATAGGTTGTGGAAGTTGAGCGAGAAGCTTGTTGGCCAGGAGTTCAACTACTGATGGCCAAAATACAAGTAAGTAGTCTTGGATCTACAGGCCTCACATGAGATGCTGAGACCCCTAAAATAGCGTCCAATTATGTTTGTCATGTTCTAGAATTATTATTTTCTTCGAATTTTACACAGGCCTCGCCTCTCTGGTGCTCATGGCGTTGTGGGAAGAACATCACTTGGCTCGGGAGGTGCTGTGTAATCGCCAGGGAGGGTATCGACGGGAGGAGCCTATAAGTATTCCGTCAGCGTGCGTTCATACAACCCAATTCAGACGCCATTTTCTACTCACCTGAAGCTTCTCCGCCCATTCTTGTATCGCCCCGTAGTTCTTGCACATGTGCTTGGTATTAAAGTCGGGGAAAGGAGCCGGGGGATCGCTGGCCCATACCTGGCCAAGAACAGCGGTATCGACGTTACAGACCAGGACTTGCCTGATGGTGTCTAGACAATGTGCTTTCGAGGGGTCAGTCTTGATCGAAGACTGCAGGAAAATGGTTGCCACTTACAGACGTGAAGACGAACAATGTGCTCCTCGTTGGCGAAGGCGTGCGTGCCCATCTTCTTGTAGTAGTCGTAGTTGTAGTAGAGGGATTTCCGAACCAAGTTCTGCATCAATCATGAGCACCAGGCATGGTATGCCGAGTCTCGGCCGTTAACTTACCAGGCAGTGAAGGTGATGCATTCCCTCAACGTTGACAAAGAAGCCTGCGCCGTACTTTTCTGACCTCCTCACAAATGACATGTCTAGGCCGCTCTTCAAGCCATCCTCAATTGAGATGACTCCGGCGCGGTCTTCAAACCGTCAGCCACAGTGTAAGAACATAGGGTAGTTATTGGATGTTACTTACAGTCCACGCCCATCGACTCCCATGCTGCGTCGACCTCTGGCGAAGCCTCTTTCCTAAAGATATCTTCCTGTAGGAACGATCCGTTGAAATTCTTCCAGTCGTATTTGACATCCACGTCTTTCAACACAGGCGACCATTGTGTTGTATGTGCAGCACAAGCGTTGTCTAGGTCCGTCGGAGCCGATATCATATAAGAACCCAAGTGCATAGAGAAGAGGTTTGAGAAGACAAAGATCGCCGCTACAGCTGCATTTCTTTTCCAGCCTCCTCGCCTCTGGGTATCATGTTGCCTCGCGTCGGGGGCTGATTGCAGGGACTCGAGATCCTCCTCAGACTCGTCCACCCGGTCAGCGAGCAGTCTCGAGTTGGACTCGTCTTCTTTTTCGTGCATCATGGTGTCGAACAAATGGGTATCAATTGGGTCACGCTTAGCAGGGAGTAAAAGAAAAGAGGGAGACAATCAAAAAGAACTGCCAGAAACGCTCCGGAAGAAAGTTGGAAGAGGGGAAGAATAATGAGCGATCGTGATCCAAGGGAAGCTCGGCCGAGGGAGCAACGGGCAAGACGGAATACCCAACGACTCTTGTCTGACATGAGGAATGCTCGCTAGCCTTCCAAGAACGGCTCACACATGTCCATGTAACTAAACAAAACGATGAGGCGTCTGTATTTTGGTGCGCCTTCAAGGTTGCCACGCGATTACCGAAAACAGCTGGAATGCTCAAAACTCAATCGCCCGCCAACACAACCACACGAACACCCCACTTGCCACGACCAAGACACCAGCTTTGGCATCAGAACACGGCATCCGCGGCAGGAATGTCGCCGTCGATAGTTTGGCTGCAGCTGATCCCGCCGGCGCATGCGGCTGATTGTTGTGCGAAGAGAGGCAGCCACGCAGCGCGGGCAAAGAGGCGGGAATTGCTGCTGGCCAGTCTTACTGGCAGCCTAGCACCTCACGCGTTCCCAAGACTGGTAAACTCGGCATGAGCTCTTCTCCGTCCCAAGAAAGAAGGGGGAAACGAAGAGAAGTCGACGGATCGCCATTGCTAGCGTGGTGGTTGTCTCGCTTGTCTACTGTTAGGCTGGTAGTTTGCAGCTTTGATGCCTGCGGGCACCAATCGCAAAGTTTCCGAACCTTTCCCCCGACGCCTGACGTGATGCCAGATGGACGGTCTGGGGTAGTAAGATCTCGTATCTGTAGGGAGCTGATCAGTCTACAATGTCGACAGTGGCCGTATATGTCGAGGTACTTTTGGAGCTTCGTATTGAGGATATTTTCGACACGGCAGCTCTCACGCAATTGCACAATCCGTTGGGATCTGGTGTCATCCCTTGGGTGTGATGTGGGAAAAACACCAAAGCGTGGAATACCCAGTCTAAGTCCAACTGAACTCGTGGTAGATCGGCTTCAGTCCTGCTTCCGATGAGACCGAGTCTCAATCACCAGCCTTTCTTTAGTTTGACATGATTTCTGTCGTACGCTAGATGCCGTCCACACAGTAAACTTCCAGCCCACGGAGCCACCGCCCCCCAACGTGGCAGCCTCCAAGTTTCCGGCCTCAGTCAAACTTCCATGTCACCCAAACAGGTCTCAAAATATACTCTACTTTTGACATCAGCAAAGGTACAAGAGCCATAGTATTGTACCACGTCCTTCTAATTTCCTCCGGTCGTGTCCGGGACCATGTATCCGGCACCAAACACAGCCGCCGTCGCAATCACACTGAGCCAAACTGACCTAAAGCCATGCCGTCGGGATAAGCGCGAGAAGGAGAAGATTTAAGCGGCCCTTGCCGGGCCCTTGCCGAGAGACCTTCGTGTACCAAAGAAGCATAGAATCATGCATGGTTGTGTCGACTCATGGATCTGCATGAGGTAGCGGGATGGGAAAGTTCAAGATTACAGTAAAGAGACAACCTCTCACCACAAAGCCGCCACGACCACTCCCCAGCTATCCACGCTATCATGTCTTGGAGCCACCCAAGCTTCTTGATCAGTCACCAAAATAGTATAGGAAGCAGGGCGGGGGCTGACACTAACGCAACCGCTTGTCCCGCCGCCAATTCCGTGTTAGTAGGGCTGATCTCCGTCAGCGTGCAGGATTAGAGAAGAAGCTCCCCCACCAAGCCCACCAGAGACTTCACCTTGGAGTTTACTCAACTTGGACTGATGCTATTCCAATTTGGGTTTCCCAGCGTGCTTGACCTCGCATATCACGATGTTCATCAATGTCAGACACCTTTCTCAGACACGGCGGGTTCAGCCCGGTAGCCATAAGGACGGTTCCACTCGTGTTACCGTCCGCGATTGTGTCAGTCACTGCTATCTTGGAAGTCGGCCCGGATCGGATTTTCCACGAGCTCGCATCGCGATTTCTGTGACTGGGTGACAAGACATGTTTTGCAGTTCAACCTTGCAACAGAAGATGAAGAGCTCACATCTTGGACTTGATCCTGGTTCCATTTCCAGCAGTGGCAGTCAACGTGATCTTTGATCCATAGGCGAGCCTTGACTAACAACCCACTGCGACCTTTCGGGGCTCCCTTGCCCGGTCATGACACCCACATGCAAAGATGTCTGCATCATCTACACCATCAAAGATGCAAGAATACGAGGACGATCTCTTAGCCGGTTATTCGACTCCTCTAGGCCATGCGAGTCCGCCTTCTAGCGTGGTATACACATCGCCCGATGGCTTCGAGACATCGTGAAGCTACTCTTTTACATCCTGCGGTCGTTCCGGACGCATCCGGATTGGCTTGTGACGCCATTCACAACCCATTCAACCGCTCACCCTGCAATCTTGCAAGTTTCTGCCTCCAAGGCGTACCCCCGCTTGCAGAGAGAGGCATTGTGTCTTCCACCTTAGCGAGCCCTCAGTTCAAGGGCTCCCTTGCAGCCGTTCACCCTAGCCCGAAGACCCTTCATCCACCAGAGAGAACCGCCATCTCAACGATCACTAGGCCATCAGCACGATGCCAGATGCGGCGTATGCCCTCATCACTCAGGCTCGAGGGTGGCCGGTGTGGTAGTCATGGAAGGATGCTAGACAACACCGTCGTCTGCAACTTGACTATCGGCTTGGCTCTTCCATAAGTATTGCCCATGATCCCACCATCAATCTTATCATCTCTCTCATTCTCATCACACATCAAACAACCATCTCACATAATCAAGTCGTCAGAGCCAAAGTCACCTCAATCAGCCAAGCCGCTTTATCTACATACTCCTCTTCTTTACCACTCGCAAACATGAAGGTCTCCGCCATTCTCATGATCACCGCCGCTTCGGCCGCTCTCGCCGCTCCTGTTGCGGAGGCCAACCCCGAGGCCGCTCCCGCTCCCGCCCCTCAAGCCACACAGGGTTACACCAACTACGGAAAGTACGACTACAGCCAGTACGGAAGCTACGGTAGCTACCCCCCGCCGGCCACAACCCCGAGCCCCACCCCGGTCCCTCAGACTTACAGTGCCTACGGCACTTACACGGGCTACAAGCGCGCCACCGACTGGGTCAAGAGCTGGTTCGAGTAAAGGCATCACACATATCTCCCGCATCATCCAATACGCAATACGCAATAATCACATTCCTTAAGCGCACTTCACCAACACATACGTCCTCTCTCACCATTTACTGGGCACGATGCTGGCTTGACGACTCAACAAGATCTTGGAACTTGACGACTATCACACTCACCTAATGTAACCCGGGAGATGGTGGAGAAGATGGACCTATGTGGTATGGGAGTATAATGATAATAGAAAGTCCATAAAAAATGGGCTCAATGAAATAAATCATGTGTCATGACTTTGCGTGTTGCTAGGAATGTTTCCAAGTGATCATATTATGACATCTCGTTCCCTTGGTAAGATCGAAATTGTCTAACGGCACCGCAAGCTAAGTATCTTTGTGTGTTTTCATACATGGGTTTGAGAGGCAAGCTCCGTGCAATTAGGCCAAACTGTGATGTGATGAAGGCTAAGTGTACCTGACACTGTTCCTTGAAAGATGAGGCAGCTTGTTCAGTCTGTGTTGGAATATTGACGGCAGAAAAGGGTGGATTTGGAAGGTGGTCTGGGCCGTTGCAAACGGCCCTTCCACCTACTTACACCCAACGGAGGAATCGTGGGCTACGCCCACCAACTTCCTCCTTACA